ATTTTTCTTTATCTTCTTTTTTTTTTATTACTTTAAAGAATAAATAGTATAATAAAATTTAATAGCTTTTATAAAGGTATCCTTTAAGGAAAACGCCCTATAAAGGGCTATATAAACCTTTTAAATAGTTTAAATACTTATTAAATAATTAAAATATATTAAAAGAATTATAAAAAGGGAATTAAATTTATATTTTTATTAACTATAAGAGCTAAAAGGGTAATAATAATAGCAATAATAATAATAATAATATAATAAAAGCTATAAAATTAATTAGCTTAATTATTTTAATTAAATATATATTATAAACTTTATAGCTATAAAAGCTTAATAATTTTATTTTAACTTTTTTTATATTATTAATTTAAAAGTATTAAAGGTACTTTATAATAAAAAAGAAATATTTAAAATATTTATATAGGTATATATAATTTATAATTCTTTTAGTATTAAAAGTACCGGAAACCCTTTTTAACTATTTATTTATAAATATTTAACCTTTTTATAAAGGAGGATTAAATGCATTAATTATAAAGGATTGGGGCAAGTTTTAATATTACCAGCAATTAAGCATTAAAGCTAAAGGCGGTAAAAAAAATAAATAAAGGTATAATAGGGGAAAAGGTATAATAAAAGTAAATAAAAGTATAAATAATATATATAATAGTTAAAATATTTTTTTCCTTTTCCTTTTTTTTATCATTTTTATTATTATTATTATTATTTTTATTTTTATTTTTATTATTAATAATAGTAATAATAGGGGCAATAGGGATAAATAAGTAAAGGGGGAAAGCTAAACATAAAAGCAATATAAGTATAAAAAAAAAAGGGAAGGTAAAACTAAAGTTAAATAAATATAAGGAAAAAAGGTTAAAATTTATATTAAGTTTTTTTTATATTAATATTTATATTATATTTTTTATAAACTTTAAATAAAAGTATATTATATTTTATAGGAATTAATTAAAAATAGGTTATAGAAATATATTTATATATTAAAATTATTACCTTCCTTTAAAAAGAAAAGGCTAATAAGGTAAAGGCAGGAAAAAGTTTATAATAATATTTTTATATATATATATTAATATAATTCTTTAAACTTTAAAAATATATAATATTAATAATATAAATAATATTAAACTATAATAAATATACTTTTAAAAAATATATATTTTAAAAAAAATAATGCTATATAAAAAAAATAACTTATTAAATAAAGTTTTAACTATTAATAAAAAGTAAAAAGTTAATAAATATATTATAAAATAAAAAGTATTATATATATTATATAATATATTAAAAATTATAAAAAAAGAAAAAGGAAAAAAAAAAAGAAAAAAGCTTTATTTTAAAATATTAAAAGGGATATATATTTTTTATATATTATATTTTTAAATATATAATTATTATAATAATATTAAGTAAATAAATAAAACTTTATATAATAATAATACTTTTTAATAAAATATTTATTAATATATTAACCTTAAATGTTATATTTAATAAATATAAATAATAAAGGTTATTTTAATAAATATTAAATAATTAATAATATAAACTTTATATATTAACTTTAAATATTATTATAATAAATATTAAAAATAAGGTATTATAAATAATATATAAAAATAATTATATAATTTAACATTATAAATTTAAAAAGTATTAATTAAAATAAATATATTAATAAAAAGTAAAATATAAAGCATTTAAATTATTTTATTTATTTTAATTAATAAAAGGTTAAATATGTATTAAAAGGAAATTAGGTAAAAAGGCCTTTAAAGTTAAAAAGGTAAAAATAGGTTTAAATATATAAAAGAAATATTAAATATATTATAGTTTATTAGTTATATAAAACGTTAAAGTTAAGTAATTAATTATATAGCAATATTATTTAACTAAAGGATATATAATAAAATAGCGTAGCATTTTTATTAGCAGTGTAGCGTTTTTATTAATAGCATAATGCTTTTACTAGCAGCGTAGCGCTTTTGCTAATAGTGCAGCGCTTTTAGCTAATAGCATAGTGCGCCCCTGATGAAGGTGCATTACGCCTCGGCAAAAGTATACCTATAAAGGCGCTTTTAATAGGAGCGCTACGCTTTAAGGATTAGTTAAAATACCTATATAGTTAGAATTTTCTATATACTTTATTATAAGATTAATAATAAAATAATACTTTTAATTTAACTTTAGAAATGTTACCTAAAAATATTAATTCAATTCCATTAATTATAAATATCCATTAAATATTATTTATTATTATATTTATTTAATCCTTTTTATATTTTTTTCCTAATAATTTTATTATTATTTTTTTATTAATATATAATATAACTTTACCTTTTTTTTATATAGGTTAATAATTATAGTTTTTAAAGTAATAAATATTAACGCATCTCCCACTTGAGCTGGCCACCCCCCTAGCCCATACAAAAAACGTCGGTGCGCTAATCACGTGATAATTCAATAACTCTACGAATATTAATCGTATAAAGTAATAAAATATACCATTAGATTCGTAATAAAAAGAGCTATTTAACGGTACTATTTACTACTTCTTATGACTTATATTCGCGGAGTTATTAAGCAATACGCTAAAGTAAGCGCTAAATTAACCCTTGCTTAGCGCCCCTTTAGCGTATTGCTTAATATCTCGCTTAATAAATTTTATAAAAAATAGTAAAAAATACCGTTGGATTCCCCTTTAAATAACGGATCTAATGGTACTAATCATTGAATCGTACAATTAATATTCGTAAAGTTATTTTAAATTAAAACAATGGGATTTTATATAGGTTAAAGGGGTGGCCAGCTCAATTGGGTGGCCAGGTTAAGTGGGAGATGCGTTATTATATTTATTAATTAAAGATTTTTATATTATTATATAATTAAAATTAATATTTAAAAGTACCTTTATTATATTAGTTTTTAATCCTATAATATTTTAAAAGGCTATAACGCATCTCCCACTTGACCTGGCCACCCAATTGACCTGGCCACCCCCTTAACCTATATAAAAATCCAATGTTTCAATCTGTAATAACTTAACCAATATTAGTCCCACGATTTAATAATTAGTACCGTTAAATCCGTTATTTAAAGGGGAATCCAACGGTATTTTTTACTATTTTTTATAAAATTTATTAAGCAAGATATTAAGCAATACGCTAAAGTGGCACTAAGCAAGGATTAATTTAGCGCTTACTTTAGCGTATTACTTAATAACTCCGCGAATGCAAGTCGTAAAAGTTAGTAAAGGGTACCGTTGAATAGCCCTTTTTATTACAAATCCAACGGTATATTTTATTACTTTATACAACTAATATTTATAGAGTTATTAAATTATCACGTGATTAACGCACCGACGTTTTTTGTATGGGCTAGGGGGGTGGCCAGGTCAATTGGGTGGCCAGGTCAAGTGGGAGATGCGTTATTATATATTATTAAATAAATAATAAGGTTAATCTTTTTATATTATTATTAATTTATAACCTTTTTATTAATAATCTACTATTATTAAGCTTAATAAAGGCTAATATTAAAGGAGCTTTAAAGCTAATTACTTTTTTATTTATAACTTTTACCTTCTTTTTATTTTAAAAGCTTTTAAGTTATAAGATATATATTACTTTTATTTTATCTTTTTTTTTATTTCCCTTTTATATCCTTTATTTTAAATTATATAAGCTTTATTATAATTTATATACTTCTTTTTTTTATTAATTTTCTTTATTAAGTATTTTTTTTTCTTTTTAATATTTTATAATATATTTATATTTATAATAATTAAAATATTATATAATCTTTAATTCTAATAAAAAGGGTTTATAATTAAAAAGTTAAGCTTTTTATAAAAAGCTATAATTATATATTAATAATATAAATAATAATAAATATTAACTTTACTTTATTATTTTTAAGTATTATTTTTTTATAATATATAATATTTAAATATTCCCTTTAAAGTAATTATAATAGTTTTTCGTTTATATATATTTTTTAAATTTAATTCTTTAACATTCCTTTTATAATTATAATTACCTTTTTATATTATAGCTTTAACCTTTTATTAAAAGCTTTTATTATTTACTTTTTATTTATTATTTCCTTTAATACTATATTTTTAAATATTACTACTATATTATTACTATATAGCTTTTTTATTATAATAATATTATTTTTAAGGAATATTATATTTATTACTTTTATCATATCCCTTAATATTCTTTTTTTAAAATTATTTATTTATTCTTTAATTTAAATAAAGATTTCTTTATTATATTTTAATAATATTATTTTATTAATATTGTTTAATTATATAATAGCTATTATTTAAGCTTATAATTTTAAAAGGTTTATTATTATATATATAGTTTAATATAAAGCTTTTTATAAGGTTTTTTTAAAGTTTTTTTAAATAATTAAAGCATTATCCCTTTTTTTTATATTTAATTTCGGTTTTACCTATTTTATAATTAGTTTATAAATAAAATAAATTAATTATACCCTTTTTATATTTTTTTATAAAAAAAGTCCTTTCTTTACTTTTTTATTTATTATAAGCTATAATATTAATTTAAATACTTTATTTAATATCCCTTTAATTTTTTTTAAATTAATAATAGCCTACTTCTTATTAAATAGCTATTATATTATAGTTATATTATTAATAGGTCCATTTTAGTTTTCCATTACGTTATTAATAAATCGGTTATCCATTACTATTCCTCCGTTTTCTTCCGCGTTTGCCATTTGCGCCTAAAATGCGAGCCTCCTGTTAAATAGAAGTTAAACTTCCGGTTATAGCGGCTTAATTTATTTAATAATTAGGTTCGAATCCGAAAAGTTATTAAAGGTTTTTCAAAATCCTCTTTTTAAGTGAGTGTAGAAAAAGCTCAGTACATAAGAAAATAACAACAAAGGATAATGGAATTCTGAACCTAAGATAGATAGTTTAATGTTATTACATATGAGTAGATAGTTAAGGATGTAGCAGGAATCGCTCCTCGCAATGCTGAATAGATCCACCAATCAACCGATTTCACAAGCCAGCGCGTAAGCGAGCCCCCTGATCCGAAGATAGCTACGCCACTCAAAGACTCGGACTACCCGCCGACATGCTTCGATGTTGCCTCAACTCTTAGAACTCATGATTTCTATACTCACTTAACTCGACAATATGCCTACGTACCAACCAATAGCTGCAATGCAAGGCAAAATCTGCTTGCTTACAGACTGATCTCGCTGATTTATTACAGCCTTGGTATATTTTTCGCCCCCAACAAACATAGCCGCCACGAAGCTTGTGTGGCTGTGTTTAATCGGAAATGGAAATGCCAATAGAAGGCTGCCCCCATCCGTAATCAATACATCTCACCATGTTATCCATATATGATTTTAGACACGTTCTTGCCAATGCAGAGTAGAGACGTGATAGATGGAGCTATGGAAAGTCTAAGATGTCCAGGCAACCTCTGCGCCCGCTTCGCACCCCCGATATTTGACAAAAGCGAGAGGGGGGATATAGACAGCGTGCTGCACGATTTCTGCGAGAACTGCTCTTTGCAAGCTGAACAGGAACCTCTTTGCAACTTCTGCAGTCATATTCGACTCCGTCATCTTGCGATATGCCTGCGCCAAAGACTCACCGGCCTCTTGGTTCACCTCAATTCACCCAAAAATAGCAATGCGATATCGAGGATTATGTCAAATACGGGATGTGCATTATGCAGTCTTTTGGCCAACGCCATACACTCATACTGTATAATGTCTCAAAAGCGTGAAGAGGATGTGCGAGCAAACACAGCTGTGACTTTATGGCTGGCACAGGAGTACGGGAGTTTTAGGCTTATATTGAACCTTGATACGGTCGATGGACACGAGGAAATGGAGATCGCTTGCCGCGAACCTTCAAAGGAGTGGGTTCCATATATCAGACCATATGTTAGTTGGCCTATCGTCCAACAATGGATCCATCGGTGCACCGATGATCATCACTGCGTGAGATTGGAGCATTCAACAGTGCCGCAAGGCTTTCGACTCATTGATGTGGACAAGCAGAGACTTGTTTCTGACTTTCTACCTGACTCCGAACTCGGCTATGACATCAAATTTGTTGCCCTCAGTTATGTATGGGGAAAGCCAGATACATCAAGAATTAACGCCTTGCTGCGTTCCAACAAGCATGAGCTGACGGCCCCCGGCGGGCTGGGGAAGCTTAGCTTACCGAAGGCAATTAAAGATGCCATCACCGTATGTCGGCAACTAAATCAGCGCTTCCTTTGGGTAGATCGGCTCTGCATTCAACAGGATGATAACGGGCCTGAAAAGCAGGCACAAATCAACGCCATGGGGAAAATATACTCATCGGCTGAATTTACCATCATACATGCGAGCGGGATTAACATGGATGATCCGATTGCAGGTGTCACAACTACCCGCGAGGTCTTCCAGTCCAGGACTGTTGTGTGTGGGGTTGAATTGATATCAGGATATCCAGACATCAAAGTGCCTTTGGAGGTGTCTAGATGGAATGAACGAGGTTGGACATACCAGGAAGCAACCCTGTCTCGAAGAAAGCTCTTCTTTACTCCTTTCGAGCTTTGGTTTGAATGTAGCGACAGTGACGCTCCGTACCAGCGAGAAGATCAGTGTTCGAGACCAACGTTTGGCCGGCATTTTAGCCACTTGAGTAAACAAGGCATGATAGATCATGGAATTGATGGCTTTATTGATGACACAGCTAAATTCGACGACTTTGTCCGCCACCTAGAGTCATACACAGCGAAGTCTCTCACCCACCAATCTGATATCCTGGATGCTTTCCTGGGCATCCTCACGGAGCTCTATGAAGGCGATCTAAGCATTTACGGACTCCCAGAAGCTGATTTTGATCAAGCCCTGCTTTGGTATTGCAAGATCAGGCGGAGGCCGACAGTCGTTGCCCTCGGCTTTCCTTCGTGGTCATGGACGTCAGTAATTGGGACAGTCACAAATCCAATCATTTATCTAGGCCTCAACGGGTTCCTAGGAACGCTTGTTCAATGGTATTACCAGGATCGAAATGGAGAGCTGAAAAGGGTCAAATCTAAAAACAGTCTTCATCCTGGGTTAAATTTGGACTCCAGAGCCCAGACCCTTCTTCTTGTTGCGTGGTTGAAAGGATGTGTTGAGCCTACAGTTCCGGAAGACGTGAAGCAGGAACTCGAGAAATGTTCTACTTCCTGTGAATCTAGCGATTGGACCAACCTTCGCTTGACTGAGAGAATCTGGGCACATACAGAGAGGCCCGAAGGCTGTGCCACGTGCCAATCGCAGATCGCACAGCGTTGGCCCTGTCTTGAGGCTATCTGGAAGGACATAGAAAGAACTCGGTGCTCTGCATTTGAGGATACACAGTATTTCACGACTGGCTCCCAAGAGGAGGACCGACAGTTAATTGCGCAGCTACATCCCGGGATTTTGTTGACTCGTGCACAAACCACATGTTTAAAAGCGTCTATTACACAAGGCTCTAAGATTGGCAAGATGTACCTCACTGATTCAGGGGGTCGAAGAATAGGGGAGGTTCAGCCCGAATCAGAACTCGCGGGTAATACCAAGTCAGAAGAAGCATTACACGCGGCTTCTTTTGAGTGTATGGGTATATCGTTGTTTTCATCTTTTTCTGTCGACAAGGAGAGAACGCAGCCGGCGGTAAATGTGTTGTTTATTCACCGTGAGGAGGGATCTCTGTTTTGGCGACGCATTGCTGTCGGCTGGCTTTACCTAGTAGACTGGATCAAGGCGGACCCTGTATTCAAGACGATCGGTCTCGAGTGATAGCAAGGAAATGCTTGCTGTATGTGGCTGATAGAGGCGAGTCTTGGAATCGTCCTAGAAACATCCTTTGGCGGCAGACTCATCGCAGTCGACCTGGCCCGGGTGTATATGCTCACTGGGCAGGCTAAGAGAAGTAAGAGAAAGGTAGGACTACATAGGATAGCTTTCTCGTCAAACCCTTTCTGAGAATGAACTGAGGAGCCGGGTAAGGGGATGAATTTTGAATGTATCCTATTGAGGACTGCGAAAGCTATGTGACCATATAACCAATCAAATTTATAATGTTTCGTACTTGATATCTAATTAGTAGCGACAGCAAGCGTGTATCACTACCTGGGCTGTGCGTAAGTAGATTCCAAGCAAGTTTTGTTTACTCGAAAGTTAGCAATCTAGAGGCAGCGTAGAATGTAGGATCGAGATAAAACTGGCTCATCAAGGCCAGTGTCAGACAGGTTGGTCCCAGAGTGAGTAGAAGGTCAGTCACAGTCAAGTAGGTAGGTAGAAGGGATAATATAGGCGTCAATATTCATTGAATCCTGAACCCTCCAATCCTCGAAGGGGGGGCCAACACCCCTTTATATAGCCAGTAGGTCTAATACAGCCACCCCTAGGGTCTATGTGACTATATCACCTGACAGCCAGGGAGCTTTCGCAGCCTTCAATATGACAGGTGAGGTGGTAATATTGTAAAAGAAAATCATGTCGCATTTTATTTTCTTAGTTTATTGAAGTACTAACTGCAGATTGGACCCTGCCCTTATATCTATAGATGACTTAGATCAGAAAAAGCTCTTCAGGTTCTAATCCCAGCTCCAAAGCACTTTCGACATAATATCCATCCATGACACCGTTAATCCACGCTTGTCCTAGTAGCCAAAAACGTGTGTTCTGGTATCGCTCATCGTTGTTTCTGGATTCTCGGAGTGCAAACGGGACTGAAGAGCTGCACAGTACAGCAAGGTGGTCTCCGGAGCGGGCACAGCGAGGAACCATTCCGATATGCCCTTCGTTTCCTGTAAAGAAACGCCGGTTCGAGCAGCTCGATCGTAGAGCTGTGTAATACTTCTCCTCGTCGTCTTCTAATGGCGTAGAGGGGTCTGATCTGAGTTTCTTGAGCAGCTGATCAAAGGCGATATAATCGATTGCATTACACCTCTTCCTATTATGGCTAAGATCGAGTGTTAAAGCCCGAATCACGTCTACAGGGATATCCGAACCCTGTGGATTGTAGTCTGACCGCCATTGGATATCTTCGGCATCGAGCTTCTCAATCATCCGGTTCACACTTCCGAGAATCTCTGCGAGCCGAGCTCTGTTATCCCACACGCTAGGTTCGAAGATATCAGATACTTCAACAATGTGCGCGATGGTGTAGCCAGGCACAGCAAGGACATCATGACCGGCATAGTTGGTTCTTAAATCATCAGCGTAAAGACCTCTGCCTGCATGGGAATGGAATGATAAATTTGAAATTGTCTCTGCATCGTAAGTGTCGTCGAATTGTAGGTCTACCCGGGCTACCCACGAAGGACAACCCTCAAGCTCGAAACTGTGATCTGTTCTGCAGCACCCAGCCGCTTTGAGTATGTTCAGGCTGTTCAGCTCTTGTACTGCATAACGGGTAGCGTCGCGCATGATTTCGTGGCATGGCCTTCTGTAATCTACTTCCAGCAAGGATGTTTCAGGAGAGTTTTCGTCTTCTTTGTTTAACAAGCTGAGAATCCCGAAGACCTTGTCTCTAGGGTCCGAGCAATGACGGTACTGTGATCTCAGCAATAATGAAGTCATGCTATCCGGGTCGGAGTAATTTCCATCAGCGGGTGCTGGATTCTTGTTGTCCACTAGAGACCATAAATCTGCTACGTCGTGAAGAGCATCATTATTCCAAAACCATGGGGACAAGGAAGGTCGGTGATAGCAGAGCCAAATGGCCACCCGTAGGAGCACATTAAGGCTGATTGAGAAGTCCCGACCGCAGAAACATGTATTGGCAGCAGAAAGGGCAGCTTCTTGTACAATCCATAGCCGTCTACAGCGTAAGCCAGTTAAATTAGCTCATGTCGTAGGAAAATCAACCTGTATCACATTTGTATGACTCACTGGAACCACGGTCGACCGAAAACGCACAACAAAGCACTCTCGTCAAGCTGACACTCAATCTTATCATTAGAATATGGATTCCCCTCCAAGTACCGTTCGATTAAGTCATTAAACTCAGACAAGTCAAGTGTTTTGCGCCGTATTTCCTCGTATAGCCGCTCGACTATTTCGAAGCCCTTTCTCGTGGGCTCGTCATTCTCTCCTAAGTACACCAGGTTGCATTTCGCAGATCTGTAGATATTGGCCATCAAGGCTACCTGATACGCTCGCTCGCTCAGGTCCGACTGGTTGATGCAAATCGAGTCAATCCAGACAACGCGGGATCGTTCAGCGTTCCGCACGCACTTGAGCGCTGCAACAGCGCTCGCCGGAACGTCGACCAGACGACCATCCACACTGACGGAGCTACGTTGTGTGGCATCTTGCCAACAGTAAGAGATAGTCTCGTACACTGCTGCTGGGTTGTCGATGATTGCATGGGAAAGGCGCAACTGAAGTGCCTCTTCCTCCCTCCCCGCAAGGATGATCAGTAACCGAAAACTCTTCTGAGCCTTGTCCAAGGGCTCATACGGAAATTCTGGTGGGTTTTGCATGGCTACGTACGTACATAGGGGGATAGCAGAAAGTTGTGCAAAAATGACTCCGGATCTCGAACACCCCCGCACACCCTAGAGTGGCCTCTCATGCACGTTATTGTTGGTCGCCCGTATTATCTGTACAATACACCAGCTGCACTAAACCTAGTATGCCTAGTAAGTGGCTCCTAAATGACATGTCAGAATGGTCAATGCAATTTGTAACAAGGGTTTCTAGTAGTTAGTGGTGTCTCTCAACTGATGGCATGGCTAGCATCTTCACTCACCACTTGGGCATGGTATTTCATTATATATATACTACCCATTTTCATTTGTCTACTCCATGATCTCATCTATCGTATACCTTGTACTTGCACGCGGTCTAGGCAAGGCGAAGGAGCATAGAGAGCTTTACATTGCCCCCTTCCCCAAATATATGCCTTCAACAACCTCCGCGCGTGACGTGCACTACCTAGGTACGAATCTAAGATAAGATACCCCTTGCCGTAGCACGCCCTGATAATACAGGTGTATAGAGGGAGGCTTTCAAAGTGCATCTCGCCGATCGTCCTTGAAACAAGTCGTTTAACTACGCTTGATTCTAATTCTTTAGAAAAGGCCATCTAGTCCATAGTTCATAATTTGTGTGATAGCGCGCGTCTCCTTTGTTACCCAGCATTCTACTACTATCTCGTATGATCATGTTTTGTCTATATACACGTAACATAATCAAAATTTGTGTCCTATGAACTATAGTGACAACAACTTGGGGGCCTTAAGAAATTAATACCTTATTGCCCGCGGCCTGCATGAGACAAGGCATCATGGCCCATAGCCTGCAGTCTGCCTAAGCTGATGTCGCAACCTTGGGTCACATCCCCGCGTAACTACAGCATATCGAGGCTGACTGACTGGAAATCCTACATCTCTTTTGGAGTTGATTTTCCAATGTATTCATTAAGGTCACAACCTAACAGGTATGTAGGGAAGGGTGCCATACATAATTAGTCCTTGAGTGCCAGTGGCTGCTCCATCCAGCAGCCTTGTTGATGTTATTTGTCGAATTGCCGCTTGCTGTAAGGCGCCGCTATCAAAATGGTATGAGCTTTGGGGGAAATGATGCCGAATACTACCGACCGTAACATCGCCACCCGTCGGGCTAACAGCACGGGCGTCTATTCGATATCCAGAGGTCACACACCATTCACGTAGCTACATCTTCATAGCGTAAATATACAAGTACTCGAGTCCGATTATCGACAGTTCAAGATGCATATGCTAAAAGTCTGCCTGGTAGGCACTCCATTGTCCTTCTCTTAATGCCTTGAGTTCTCCCTGTCAGTTTGAAAATCTAAATATGATGAACTATAAATTCATATTTTCAATTATATCTATGTGGACATAGTAGATTTCAAGTCGCATCACCTCAACTGCTGACTCAAATACCCCATTCACACCCTTGTTGGCAAGAATTTGGGCGCCGGAAAAAGTCACGGTTCCATCATGGATCCTCTATCCATTTCGGGCTCTGTCGCAGGCCTAGTGGCAATTGCTGGCGCTGCTTTCGCACGAGTAGCGACGTATATAAAAGATGTTAAAGACGCGCCTAAAGAGGCCGAACGTCTGTTGGAGGAGATGAAGCAGTTTTCTGTCCTTCTTCATCACTTGTCCTTGGTCGCCCGTGAGCTCGAGATTACCTTAAAGGCTGGCGAGGAGGCAGTACAAGATTCGCCAAACCTGCAACTGCATCACCTCCACAGCTGCCAAACGATTTTGAATCGTATTGAGATTGGTCTTCAACGGGCAAGAGATGACCTAAAGTCCTCTTCTACTTTGACAAAACTTCGAAGCCGTCTTAAGTGGCCATTTTCGTTAGATCATACGAATGGGATGGTTCAAACGATCCAGCACCATAAGCAGACGATCAACGTGGCGTTGAGTGCGAGCTCTTATAGTCGCTTGGCAATGTGCCTGTCTCGTCAGGAAGTAGCAGATAAACTCCAAGAAGAAACAAAAAAATATTTGATCAGTGTCGAAAATACTGTGCAGGAAATCCTGGAGATCAATACTAAAGTCTTCCTGGACGAAAGGCGCAGAGAAGTACTGAGCTATTTCACCAAATTCGTCAATCCTTCGCATGACTTCGAAATGGTACAAGGTCTGCGCCATCCCTCGACAGGCTTGTGGTTTACTGAGTTAGACGAATTTAAAGCATGGAGAGTGACACCGAGCTCAAAGCTATGGGTCACTGGCATCCCCGGGGCCGGCAAATCAGTTCTCGCAGGCTTGATTCTCTATGAGTGCCTGAAGCTGAGCTCAGCAGACGACAGAAAAGCCACGATATATTTCTTCTGTACCTATAGTGACAAATCCACGCATTCAGCAAGGAACCTAATATCGTCGCTCGCTGCACAGCTAGCCTGTCAGAATGAGGAAGCATTCCAGATCTTGGAGGAGTACCAAAAGGAGCTAGTTTCCCAGAAGCCCTTAACCTTGGAACCTTCTGTACAGAAGCTCTTAACGATTTTCGAATATATGTGTGGAATGTTTGATCAGATTTTTGTCGTTGTTGACGGTCTCGATGAATGTGAGGGAGATGAGGTTATTTTGAGTCTATTGCAGCTGTCATCGAAAATGAACAGTGCTTCAATCACGACGCTACTGCTTAGCCGAGATGTGGTTGGTATTCGCGATCGACTTGAATCACGTTTTGTCCACATTGAGATCGCGGCGCATACGGAAGATTTACAACTTTACGTTTCCGCCGAACTAGAGAAGCGCATCGAGTTGAAGCAGTTCAGAATACGGAATCTCAAATTGAAGGCCGATATTATAGACAAACTTGTGCACGATGCCAAGGGGATGTTAGTATGCAAACCCATATGTTCATAGAGATGCCCTAACTTTCGAATCCAGGTTTAGATGGGCGGCTTGTCAACTAGACTATCTTGGCGAGCTGCCAACCGATCGAGAGAAGCGGGACGCCTTGTCCAAACTTCCACCAACGCTACCAGCTACCTATGAGCGCATTCTTTTGAAGGTCGAGCAGTCCGGTCCAGAAGTGCGTAGGCTGGTCCACAAGACTCTGCTATTGATTCGCGCCTCTTTTACCAATGTGAATATCTTAATTGAAGCCGTCTCAATCCGAGAGGACTCAAATGTTCTCACTAAGGAAGACATGGTGGACGAGTACGAGATCATGTTGAGGTGTGGCAGCCTCATTAGGAAGTCAGCCAACGGTGCACATCTCGAATTCTCCCACTTTACTGTGCTGGAATTCCTTGAGAGTATTGATCCCGCGCATCCAATTCTAGGCTTTTACCGTGTCTCAATGAGTACGGCTTATAATCTTTTGGCTCAAGTTTGCTTGCGATACTTAATGCTGGAAGAATTCAACAGAAAACCTAGAGGAGAAAAGGGATATCTCCATCATATTCTGCAGCGACGTCAAACAAGACCGTTCTACGGACATTGCGCGAACCGCTGGTTCCGGCTCATGTACCAACTGGAAGATGGAGATTGTAGCAAAGCCGATGCTACAACAACGGGGCTTATCCAGGCGCTTTTCCAGAGTCCAAAAACATCTCAATTTTGCCAGTGGGTTGTTCAATTTGTGTACTCCTGGACTTCCGCAAATATTAGATTAGAAGCTGGTAGATTTAGGGTTTTAGATGGCGACAAGTCATTTCACACCCATGAAATGAAAACTGGCCCAGCAGACATAGACACGTTCATCAAACTAGTGGATGCCGTTACCCGACCAGATTTTACTCCTTTACATATGGCATCACTGCTCGGCTTGCCGAGCCTATGTGGTCACCTATTGAGACACGGAGCTAGAGTGAACCTCTCAAGCCGCTTCGGTACTCCTCTACACTGCGCTCTGGGCGGGATTGTCGTTTTCCTCCACGACAAGCGTCTGGTCAACCACAGAATTATGACGAATTTTGTACCGTACAATAAGTCGCCGCTTGCACAGGGCCAAACTGTTCGCCTTCTCCTTGCCGCCGGGGCAAGTGCGACCCCACACCTCTCAACACCTTTTCAACAGAGAACGCTCATGGGGACAATGCACCTGTCGCCAAATCACTCTAAGACCTTTGCATTATTTCCTGACCTCATACGAGCTGGATTGGTTGTTAATGAAGAAGATTGGGACGACATGGAAACTGTGTTAATGGAATACGAATATCTGAATCATTCACATGATGGGTATGATACACTGGTGCAGTTACTGAGAGATCTCAAATTCGCCAACGACAACACTAGCGATATTTCTAAACGACTTTATTCTACTATATACCGAAAACTCAAGGGTAATACCAGGTACTGGGATCTGGATGAGCTGTTGTCTGATGATCGTAAGATACGGAACGATCTACAGTCAATAGTTGCATCCAATGACGTTTTTTCTTTGGAAAAGCTGTTAGAAGACAATCAACACGAGGTTATAAAGAACACCAGGTTTAAAGTTGGGGATCAACAGCTCACAGCAGTTCACCTAGCTTGCCTTCTCAGCTCTCTAGATGTTCTCGGTCTACTGTTGAAGATTGGAGTCGACCCTGAAGTTGCGACAAACCAAGGCATAAAACCAATAAATATAATTAATGGTTCAAGAAACCGAAGTAGAGACATCCTTAAAATTCTCTTACTACACCATGTTTCTACAGCGGCAGTCTGCAGCAGTCATCCAGATACTATTTGGCATCAGGCAGTCAAAGACGAAGACATACAGGCACTGGAGCTGCTTATCAGCTTAGCACCAGACAAGAACGAGGCATTACAAGTTGTCTCTGATTATTCAGGTAAAACCGCGATGTGCATTGCCCTTGAGAAACGAAACGAGAAAGTCCTAACGCTTCTCTTGGAGCACTGCCCTACAGCATCATTCTGGAAAAGTGACGAGCCTCTCTACCGACAAGCAGCACGGCTGGGTTCTTTAGAAGTCATGAACAAGCTTCTGGATATGGGAATTGAGCTCGACGAATTTGATGATGAGTTGGGTAGCCCACTCCATTACATTTCCCCGATGGCATCAGTGCCATGTGTAGAATTGCTAGTGGCAACATTCCCACATTGCTACAGGCCTCGTAAAGACCGGTTAACACCTTTCAGTTCATTTATTGCCATATTCTCTCAACAGTTTGTAAAGGAAGACATTGAAATACAACCACAAATCTTGCACGCACTGTTACCAACGTCCGAACCATGGCAATACGAAGCAGCTGTCTATGCAATGGCGCATATCTGGCCACACTTCTCTGGGTTGATCGGTGTGTACGTCAATCAGGAGAGTGCAAAATTCCGGTGGGCCAATCAAGTTCTCACCTTTTTCTTCGATACTGGTCTTCTGAATTCCCTAGATGTCCTCCACCATTCTGTCTGTGATGGCTGTGATAAAGACATTCGAGAAGTTCGTCACAAATGCATCAACTGTCTCGATTGGGATTACTGCTCAGACTGTGTGAAGCATGCAAATTTCAACCATCCTAATCATCAGTTTGTCGCTATCTACGAACCGTTAACTAATCAAACTTTCCTCACTTCTTTGCCTGCTACCTACCGTGGTTTTAGCTGTGATGGTTCGCTCTGCAAGAGTCGGGAAGGCGAATGCCATTGCTCTCGCGCTGCTACGCAGCCACGAAACATACCGGCCTCTCTAAAAGACAAGATCACTACCGCTCCCGTACCAGTCGCCCAATCTACCGACCAGAAAGAGGATAAAATCTCAGCACTAGTTTTGTTCGTAACCGCACTCTATGAATCAGCTTCTGCCTGGCCTTCAAGGTCGGCCATGCGCCAAGACCGACTCCACACGCTTAATAGGGGGAAATGGAGGCCCCTGAAGCACTGGAACTTCCTTTCTTCGATGCTACTCAAGATAACATCTCAAACAGAATTTGGGGATAATGCTGCCAAATCTGATTCTATCACTTGGCTTCTATCCGAGGCAATACTCCATGACGACCGTGATTTAATGAAGAGGCTGCTGGAGAATGGCGCCGATGTTCATCGACCAGTAGACTCAATGTCAGCCCTGGAGATAGCGTGCATACCAAAAGTAGCGATCTCCGATGATACTTTGAGATGCTTGCTCTCATATGTAAACGCGAATAGACTTAATGAACGGTGTGATGGGCTTCGTGGTATGCCTATCATCTACTTCTTGGGGTGGAGAGATTACTATCGCAAGAAACGTTCTGCCCAGAAGCTACGACTGATCCTTGAGGCGGGTGCTGACGCCGGAGTTGCTCCCTTCTTCGGCTCAGCGCTAGCATTTCACCTTGCTGGGGGATTTTTCACAACAGCAAAAGTTTTGCTGGAGTTTGGAGTAGATCCGTGGGTCACCAATGAGAGGGGGTTCAACGCTGCCCTATTTGCAGTTTCGCGGAACAAACTGGAGTTCTTGAAACTAATCGCGAAGCACTCAACATCACACCAGCTCGCTGCCAAATGGAATCAGACCTGGAGAAGCCCTCGCAGACACCCTAGTCGTACTTTTCCTGGTCGTCCTAGTATTTCAGGAGCTAATGTGTTCCATCTCGCAGCGGATTTAGGTCATGTAGACTGTATGAAGCTGTTTCTTCATGAAAAATGGTTTGAAGATCTCGAATCAGTCGGTACGTTCCATTTGGATTTTACTTGTTTTTGAACTGGTGCACATGTGCTACCATCTGTCCGTCCTATTTATCCGTCACTAATTTACGTTAAATAGACAAAAACCTTCAGACTCCTATGCATTATGCAGCTCAACGCGGGCAGCTGTTGGTTATTCGTTTCCTTTATCAACATGGTTGCGATATCGACCGAACTACGCGAGATGGAAAATCGCCGTTGCATCTGGCAGTTGAAGGCCAGCACACGGATGTCGTGGAAGAACTCCTTAATCTAGGTGCTAAGATGAAGACGGACGTACATGGGCTTTCCCCCCTCGTTTACGCATATAAAACCGGGAACAATCAGCTTATAAGGATTTTTCGGGATTTAAACAACGAGAACGAAAGTATGATCTATCAACTAGATGAAAAAGATAGCGCACATATGACCGAGGCATTCTATATGGCGTTAAGCCAAGGGGATTTGAATGCTTGTGAAAGACTGCTCACGCGAGGATGGCCTATTGATTCAGAGATATGCAAACCTCAGCCCGTCACCGCCCTGATGCTTGCAATCAGTAAGAAGATGTCTTCTCGAGCCGTGGAATGGCTCCTCGAGAAAGGGGCAAAGGTTTCAATTGTCTTCGAAGGGCCCAACATGCCGGAATATGCTACTGCCCTGGAGGCGGCCATAGCCGATGACGATTACAATCCCATATTGTTCACGCTCATAGAACATTACTTGAATGAGGGTGGCAATTTCAACAGTCAAAAACAGACGCCTTTGCATGTAGCTGTTAAGAGAGAGAATTTAGGGGGACTTGAAATTCTTTCTCGTTTTCTGCATAAATTGCCCAACGTTCTGGAAATTATAAATCAGAGGAGCAGCCTATGGAAGGGCATGACGGCCTTACATATGTCTGCGCACCTAGACAGTCTCGATGCTGCGACACTTCTCATCGAAAATGGGGCAAACATCGAGCTCACAGCCCTCGAAGGTCGTACACCCTTGCATTATGCGGCGGAAAGTGGCTCGATCAATGTGCTCAAGCTGCTCATAAAGTACCGAGCTTGCATCGAGCCACTGGCTTTACGTGAATTACGCACGCCTCTCATGCTTGCATGCGCGAAAGGCCACGTTCAAACAGCCAAACATTTATTACGGTTTCAGCAAAATATTACTGGAGATTCGCTTGGGAGAAATCTGGTCGCTATAACTGTAGGAGAGGGGGCTGGTGAAACTTCCCAGGTGCAACTATGCTCTTTTCTGTTTCGCAGAGCTTTTGACGTCCACCACCTCGACAAAAGTGGTGAATGCGCTCTACTAAACATAATGAAATCCTCTACGCATCGGATTTTGCGACATATCCTCACGGAATATCCTTTATCTCTGCGCATCCAAGATCTCCATTGGCCTTCCCATTGGGTTCGGGGTATATTGAGTTTCGATCGAGATTCTCTTTCCCACGTCGCCAAGGCATATCGCCTAATCCATCGATATCTTGGGCGAGGAGGATTAATAAAGGTGTCAGACTCAGTTGCCATGGGGGAATATAGCTTACTGTACTTAGCTCTATCTACAGGGCATGTTGCGGCCGTCGATGATTTGCTCTCAATCGGTATTGATATTGACGCCGAATTTTGTGATGAAGGCACTGTATTAACTGTCGCATCGGTTCACGGACAGCTTGATGCAGTCAAATACCTGGTACGACGAGGAGCAAGGCCTTTTTACCAGCATCGCGGTTCTCAAGTCAGCAGATTCGCATCTACAGCTACTCGTGGAAAGGAGGAAGTGCTTGAATGGCTACTCGTTAATCGCTACACTGAGCAGGCGAAGATTACGAACACCAACTTCAGTCTGGATGGGGAAGACAAACAAGTCAAAGAATGGAGAGGACTTACACAAATCAAGTTGCCATTGAAGTGGGAGTGGAAAAGACGAAGGGCCGAGACTATGCTCGAGTATGCTAACCGATTCCAGAAGATTTTAAAGTCACTTCATGGAGAGATTATGAACATCACTAGTGAAGACATAAGCCAAACGGAGAATGGAGAATCGGCCGACGACGACGGGTCGAGTGATGAGGGCGGGTTAAGTGATGGCGATGAATCGAGCGTCGAGGATGAATCAAGCGATGAAAGCGAGTCGAGTGATAGTGACTAGATAATTGTTTGTTTTGTCTCGGTCTTAGTGCGGGTGTTTTATACCAACCGATTTTCTACAAGGACCTACTTCGTTTCGCTCTAAACGAGGTGTCAGATGGGTTGGTCCCGGAGTGAATAGAAGGTCAGTCACAGTCAAGTAGGTAGGTAGAAAGGATAGTATAGGCGTCAATATTCATTGAATCCTGAACCCTCCAACCCTCGAAGGGGGGGCCAACACCCCTTTATATAGCCAATAGGTCTAATACAGCCACCCCTAGGGTCTATGTGACTATATCACCTGACACGAGGTGTGGGTGAATGAAGGCTGCTTACTTAGAACTATCGCAGAAGCTGTCCTATGTGACTGAGAAGATTCCTTTTGAAGAAAATCACCGATTAGGCAGAGCTAAATGGACAACGGAAGCTATCATATGTACTATTCCGCGAACCATTTGAATACGCATTCGCTGCACCTTATCCCTCTTACTCATGCCTCAACAACCACCTCCTCATACACGATCTCGATATTCTTTCCATCGTCCGTTGTTATATGCTCTACCTTCTTAGGCGGCTTCTTATTCTTATCTTTCTTCTTCGGGACTTTGACCCATTCTCTGCGCTCCGGTATCCAGCGATGTCTGTTTCCAGAGAAGAGTTCCGTCAGCTATACACTCAACTTGTCAAGTATCGATGTAGGAATATCTGAGAGGAATGAACAGAAAGTGAGTTGTACAAGAGGGGCTTGTCGGGGTACGAAACTATGGGAAAGGGGAACGACGCAAAGCAAAAGGGGTAAAAAATAGGAGAGGAGGAGGCAAAGGTAAGAAGAATGAAGAGAAAGAAAAAAGAACGCTTACCCAGCCCATTCCTCTGTAACCAGACTCTTGGGACCGTACTCGTCAGTCAGGACCTTGTCAAAGGCATACGGGATCCAAGCCTGAACACCCTCGAACTCGGTGCGCCGCAGCGGCCAGAGTTCACCCGTGCGGTAGCGGTGGTTATTCTTGCAGCTCCAGACTCCCGGGCTCTTATCGGCGTCGCGCTCGCGCAGGCCCGTGATATCGATGAACATGCCATTGCTCGTGTCGATCCAGCGCGCGTCGATCACATTGGCGCCGTTGCCCTTGGTCAGCGCGCCGTAGTACGGGTTGACGTCGAGGAGATACATCTTCTTCACCGTCGTCGTCGTTGCCGTATTATTCGCCCCTTCTCTCTCGTCATCACTCTCGGGATAGGTAACGTTACCGTCGGCCGTGCTTGTATTGGCGGTAAGGGAGCCGGTGGCACTGTTGTCTAGTGTGAAGCTTCCCAAGTCTTCGTCTTCATCGATATCGTACTCGTAAAAGTGCATGCTCCGATTATACCGCTCCCCGAGGAACGCCAGCGTCGCCACGCTGACTTGCACGTCGAGATCGTAGTCCCACGGCATGATCTGCGCGTTCCACCACCATCCCAGCAGCGAGCCGTGCGCCAGCCACGTATCTACCCCTAGTTCCCTGAACGTCGTCAGATATGACCTGATGAGGTGTCGGAGTACGGGCCGGTGCTTCTCGTACGGTATCTTGCCTTGGAAGAACCGCGAGTCATAGTGACCGCTCTCGAGATCCCATCCAGGTTCATGAAAGTACTTCTGTTCTTTTGGTTTCTGATCTTTCTGCTTCTGCTTCGGCCTTGGTTTTGGTTTTTGCTGCTTTTGTTGCTTTTCTTTCTCCGTCTCCTTTTCTTTTGGATCCTCTTTTGGAGGAGACGGGGTCGTCTTTCTTGGATTCTCTGGCAGTTTCGCTTTGTGTGTCTCCGTTTTCACAGGGGATATCTCTGTGGATACCGGCGCTACTACCGAGGCCACTGCTGTTGCTGCCGCCGTCGCAATTACGACTTCTACCTCTGTTATTACTATCGGCGCTGCGTTTATGGCTATGAATATGGCGAAGAGGATGAAGGGACGAAGGATATGCATCGCCCTAGATTAAAACTTGGGGCAATTGGATCCTATCCGTTCCGCTATGTGCCGGGTTGATGAATACAATGTGGCTTCGGGTCACATGAGCTATGGATATCGTGCTCTTGATGGTGAATTCCAGGGTGTTCAGGAGATCGTCATCACAGACAGTCTAACTAGTAGGTATGAATTGGCCAGCCAGCATGTAAAAGAACTGGTCCTCGACAGTTGGCGATAATCAAACAGATGAATAGTAGTCATACATCGTCATAGGCTTAAAGACTCACTGGGAAGGATTGTATGCGAATGCCTATTTCGATATCGTGATACCGACATCATTGAGACCAAGTTCAAGAACTAAAGGATCACGCATATGCCGGCATCTAGAACGATTCCTCCGTTTCGCCGCGTAATCATGCACACTACAACTATACGGCTCACGCCCGGCTGCTCGTATCTAGTTCTCCATTAAATGGCCACCCTACCATCATGATACACTTACACCCTTGTGGCACCGTCTCTGATAACCGGTTTCCCCTTCAGCGTAAACCGTGGAGAGAAGAGAGGGTTCTCAGTTTACCACGGTAACGAGGCGGACATTAAGTTTAGACCTGCGTATCCTAGACAAGACACCCCTTTGACTCTCGCTTTCAAAGTATCAGAGACGGCCTATTTCTATCTTGAGACGTCTGACTTGTACATCTTAGGCCTATCTGGAGAACTTCATTATTACAAGACAGACTGACAGAAATACGGAAAGAATTATGGGCTCACATCCGGAGAGGATTCACATATCGATATCTCACACCGTTGATTGATGATAAGCAATGGGTGGTGCTGCCGACGCCATGTCCTACAGAGGAATACCCGAAATAAACTTTAAAAGGGAATGCACGAGCACAAATCACACCCATAAACCACCGTCGCGTGATAAACGTTCTTCTGGTCTCGAAGATATATATCATAGCTGTACTACACTTAGATACGCAGTATGATATAAGTTTATGTCACCCCCTCATAGTATAACATAACGAGCACTTATAGACTCGAATTCGCGCAGCAGTCAATATCTATCGACGCAAATGGTACCATCCGAGCACCTCATCTAGCATTAACAATCTAACACAAGTAGCTGTGGAAATGCCATTGCCCCTATTACCTTATCCAAACATTCACTTGATGTTGAGTTAGTTAGCTATCTTGTTGTTTATCAATCAAGTCATACCAATATATCCCAGACTCTACAAAAGCCTCAACGTCTACTATAGGGACCCATGTTACTAGCGGCGTAAAGAGCTCTAGCAATAAGGAAATGAGCAAATAGGCGGTGGAAGAAGGACAGGTATAGACTTAGACAGCAAAGTGACGACTAACCAACAATAGAGGTTCACCGGCATACTGACGGCAACAAGTGGTCAAGCCGCCCCGAGCGAAACGGGTAGAATAGAAGAGTTATTATAAATGACTATGTAATTCAGCAATACTAGCAATCACTAGTCACATTCACGACCCTATATCACTCCCGTATACTCCCCACTACAGTATAAACCCATCTAATATATAGAAGACTCACGGACTTAGCCCAGATCCATAAACTACTCCTCTTCTGCCCCGTTCGCCTAAGATATCTACATTACTGCCGAACAGTAATTCATCTCCAAATGCGCGTCACATGGTTGAGGACCGGGCCGCCAAGAACAAGTCCTCATCGAGTACCTTTGTCTTCAACGCTTCCTAGTCCTCGTCGCAGGCGCCGTTTCGAACGGATCATCGGAGATCTCGTCGTCGCTGATCTCAAGCGGTTCCTGCTGCGTCGCGGCCTTCTGCGAGAAGTTCAATTTCGTCTGTCGGGTCTTTGCTGCCGCAGATGTTGCGGCGGAGGAAGTCGCTCGCGAGGAAGTCTGCGACCGTGATGGTTGGGATCGTGTAGTAGTAATGGCTCGAGACGCGGTAGTGCGCTTCGGCGGTGGTGGTGCAGGAGGGTCGTAATTATCGTCGTCCATGACAATATCGTCGCCGTCGTCGTCTTCGTCTTCATCGGCCTGCTTGCGACCGCGGCCGCGACCTTTAGGGGCAGCAGGCTTCTTAGCGGGAGCTTTTGGAGCGGCCTTGGCCCGGGTTGTAGTCGCTGCTTTAGGCCGTCCTCTCGTCTTAGGTGCTGGAATCTCTTCTTCTGCAAAATCGTTCATCTCTTCGTCATCATCGTCGTCGAGGAATCCTGTACGCGTGGGCTTTCGTGCTTGTGCTCGTGCACGGGGTTTCGCAGGTTCTGGTGCTGGTTCTGGTATCGGATTACGATCGATTGCCTCGGGTTGGTCTTCCCAATGACCCTCGAGATCAGAGTCCCATTCATCCGGCTTGGGTTTGTATCTAAGTTTGGGGCCACGCTTGAGCTGGCCCGTAACAAATTGGTGCTCAAGTTTCTGCTTGATTATTTCCATTGCTTGATCAAGGTTTTCGTCGTCATTTTCTAACGACAACATCTGTTTGACCTGACCGGATAAAGATTCGTTGACAAATTGTTCCATTGCATGCTTGTCGTCTTTGTCGACGAATTGCGTCACTGCATCGCCGAATGGTGCCTGAGGAAGTATCTTCAGTGACTGGGCCTTTAGATACTCCTCGACGAGCTTTGCAACTTTGACACTATCCATCTCGGCGAGACTGGCGACGACCTCTTCGGACAGCGCATCAGTGGCCGTAGCACGTTCTAATTCCATTAGCACTACACGAAGAATGGAAGAGAAATAGAGAGACAAAGGACTCAAAATCGGCTGGGTCACGTACTTGACCCCGTCTTCTTTCGATAGAAGTGAACCACGTCATTAGTATTGGCGACCTTGTCCGAGAACCGGTTAGAGAAACGTTGGGGATTCTCAATATCGTAGTGGCCGCCATCAGGCGCTGTGTATTCAACTTTCAATCGGATTAAGGGTCGTGGCCGCTCGCTTTCGTCAACGTCAACCTCTTGTAGAGAATCCCATTCCGCATTAGCTTCTGCAATCATTTCTTCCACCACAGTCATCAACCTTCTGGTCAATTCCTGCCGATTTTCTTTCTTCTTCTCTAGACCCTTAAACCTCTTATCACTGGCTAGTACTATTTCAGCGGTAACAAACGGGCGGACAGTCTTTAGGCGATGCTTTTCAACCGAGAAATCCTTGCCGGTAATACTTACCACGGCGACATGTTTCGCCACAGCTTCGCCCGGCACCAGCGATGTAGCAACAGATGATCCGGGCTGCATGACGTGAAAGCCTGTTTCAGGGTTGTGTCGAGGATCAATGAGACATTCGTGCTCATGACCCCAAACGACTAAATCGAGCCATTCGGGCAGCATGTTCTCAGGCAGATAACTAGTGGCAGTATGGGCGTGGTGGTTCTGATGAACGGCAAGCAGGTTGAACCAGTCTGTTGACTGCTGATTGGGGCGAAACCATTTCACCTTGTGATCACGGAAATTACGAAACATGCGCTCATCGCGCACGTTACTGATTCCGTAGAGGGCCAGCTTGGTCTGGCCTTTCTGGAGTAAGACAGGCTTCACGTCGATCTCGTCTGCCTTGGGAGTGCGACCGTAGTAGTTGACAAGACCAGCAACCTGAAGTAGGTCGAGTGAGCAATAGTTTCCTTGGCCGCTGGGGTCGTCGTGGTTGCCATGAATGGAGAAGACGGGGATGGAAATGTTAATGTCCGGGTCCTCGTAATTGACATGGCCGAAGGCACTCGCGAAGACCTCGTTGGCGTCACTAAGAAACTGGAGCTCGCATGGTTTCATGCCGAGGCAGTTCTTCCGAAGTGATCGCATGACATGGTACATGGACAACCTTGATGGCTTGTTATCGTGGAAGAGATCACCAGCAAGCAAGACCATGTCTACCTAGATTGCGGAACACCGAGTAAGCACCATGCACCAACCTGCCTCTTCCGAGACGACAGACGTGATTCTGGGGGCCTACATCTTCTGTCTGTGCTAGATTCATAATCTCGTCAAACGTCTTCCAGCTGTCGTCTTTGCGGACGGGGTCGCGCTCCTCGTAGCCCACATGGTTATCAGTAGCGACGAGGATGCGGATAGTGTCCGCATCTAATGCAAGTATTGTTAGTTAGAAATAACGGGGCGTGACTGGGTTCGGCTTGGGAATCTCGGATGCAAACAAATAAGAGCATACCTGTCGACTGTGAGGATGGCATGCTGTAGGTGCTCGATGATAGGTTGTGGCAGGAACGGTATTAGAGTGAATGTGAACGATATATCTATCTTTCCCACCTTACCTACCCAGTCAATGCTGTGGTTCAGTGGCTACCTAATATAATAGTGTGATGAGTGTGACATTCTGAAGCCTCATTTCAACTTGACGTAGATATCTTCTTACTGCCTACTTAATCAAGTCAGTATTCAGCAGGACGTCACCATGGCTAATCGGGCAGCTTAGTTTACTTAGTACGGTTCGGAATACAGACGCGTTGAATTCGAAACATGGACCCTTCGCCCCGCGAAATCACGTGCCAGACTTTAATTGATCCCAGGTACCTTAGTCTTGTAGAAGGTACTGAGGTACCTTTTCAGTAGCCAACTCTTTTTTGCCCACATTATCAGTTGATACAGATACAACAATGCTGTGCTCAACTTAATATTAGGGAATTATTTATAGATAGATTGGTCTTAGACTGCCAATGATCAAAGTTTAAAAACCTCGCCGCACTTCAAAGACTGTGTTGAGCTCAATCCAGTACGCTTCGTCATTAGCCTGAAGCATAATATCTTCAAGCATCGCTAGTTGTTACTTCTTCTGTATGTTACCTAGTATGCGATACAAGCTACCTATGGGATACTCAAGTAATAATGCAGATAAATGGTCCTCTTTCTCAGTCCCATGCTTTAAAACGAAATTCCAATCTGGATAGATCCGAAACCCTTCATCGTCATCAACCATGCATATAGTAGTAGTATGTATATCATGCCCATCCGTTGAACGCCAATCCCTCAATCCCAACCAGAACCAGATGTGAGATGAATACAGACCAATACCAAATTATCCCCCGAAAAAAAATGATGCACATGTGAATGTGAGCCGTTCTGCTAACCCCGGAATGCTAACGTAATATCAATCATCAAGATGTCGCTGCTTTGCTGGCTGCCGACTCATCCTGATCCACCTTGGTAGAAACGCCTTCCCACCAAACTCCATGCGTATCTCGATCAACGCTCCCAACACGACTGAGCTCCTCAATCATCTCTCGTACCCTCTCGACGAACTCGGGCAACCCTAAGCTCGCCAACTTCTCTCCGGCCGTACTCGTGGCCTTGATCTTTTCGCTCGTAGAGCCCGCTTGTAGTCGCGTCAACACATGTCCTCTAATGCGCGTGAGCAAGAGTCTCATCACGGGCTCCCTAGGCTCCGTGTTGTTACACTTGGCATCCGTGTAGGCCTCGAGAACCCTCGTTACGAGAGCTTGCAGATGCTTCTTAGTTGCTGCAGGCATGGACCGTCCCGCTTCAAGGGCCGCCATTATGCCGTGGACAGCTGTCGACTGGTTTAGAGCCTTGGCATCGTCGTCTATTGACTCGAGAAGGGTGAAAACCCGACCGGCCTCTGTCTTCCAAGGGGCTCGAACGTCGCGTTTCAGCATATTTTTACATTGCAGGAGAATGGCACCTGCTGTGATGATGCGAAGCGTTTGGCGGCCGAGACGTACCCGACGCTTCTCGTCGAGAGCAAGAGGTTCAGGTATAGTATCAACCAAAGGCGAAGGCTGCGTGAATTGGTCCACAAGCATTTGCCAGTAGATCTTATCAGGCGTTGGTCGGAGCTTCGGGTGATTGATTCCCTCTGGGTCACGCCGGGCTGCCTCCGCATGGACTTTGTTTCGGGCGTCCCGCCACGCAGCCTCTGCGCGAGTCAGCGTGATCACGCCGCTGTCGAGATCCTCGGCAAACTTCTTTGCTTCGTACGGAGAAGCGTGTTCAACGAGGTTAGGCGCTGCTACTTGGAGCATATAGTTGGCGTAGTCATAAAGCATCACATCAATAAAAGAGATGAGGGCCTCGAAGCGATCGACTATAGGGCCTTGGCTAAGCTTGTTGTCCACTAGGTCTTTAACTTCGTCATCCCGCACTGGGGCACAAAGCTTAGGAAGCAGAGAGCCCATAGAAGAGAAGAACTTTTCATATGAAAAGCTACCAGCCTGGAATTGGCGTCCAGCTACCTCTGTATCAAGTATTTCACCGATAAAAGTGTGCATAGGTGAATTGGGCTTGACAAGATGCTGTAAACGATCTTTTATATAGTTGGCCATGACAACGAGATAATGGAATTCTTTCTCTTCATTCCTCGGCCCTAAGCGGAGATCCTTGAAGAGTGGTTCCATGCGGGATTTATGCTGTTCTTGAAAGTGCTCGAATTCAATGCGGTATTCCCGGTTGATTGCTAACTCGTGAACAATAACCCTATTGTCCGGTAAAATAGGGGGATAAGCCGAATGTGTTACTGGTTGCTTCGACTGGTGCTTGTTAGGCGTCGGCGGAGGAGTGAGTGTTTGCAGCTGGGATGAAATCACATGGTCTGCTGTAGCGTGATCTACCATCGAAGAGCCCTCGGTGCTGAGAGAGTGTTCAGCGACTCGAGGTTTGGTGTCTCCTGTGGGTTTCTTTGCTGCTCTAGCTTTTCTTGCTTGTTTCACTGCCTCGAAAATCCTCTTCTTTCCTTCCTGAGCACCTGCGAGCCTTTTGATTCGAACCATGAGCATCAGCTGATTATCCCTGATACTCTGCAGATAAGATTCGGTGCTGGCGCCCTCTGTACGGTCTTTGACAGTCTGAAGGATAGCATCGAGTTCTACAAACTGCAAGATCATCACGTCGACCAGAGCGTCCGAGTCTCGTGCTTTCCAGGCGATGAATGCATTATGAAAGGTGGCGTAGACTTCCGGCAAGGCGCCTTGCAAAGCTGGTGGCGGGGTGTAATTATTCAGCGAAGTTAATCGTGACAAGATGTTCTCAAAGGAGATCAGCAAATCTCGCGCCTTCGCAACCAGATCCTGTAATTGCGGATTAGCTAGATCATCCCGAGGGATGGGTTGCCCTTGAGAGGATCCAGCCTGCTCCTGTTCTCCCTTATGGTCCTTGTTGCTGAGGACTTGGGTCGGATGGCCAAGTATGAGAAAAGCACCCAAAAAGGATCGAACGGCAGCCATCTCAGTGACAGATCCAATATCACCCTCGCTTAACCCACAAATCCGAAGTACGCGTGCCGTCACTAGGAGCACTTGTTCCTGGCCAAGTAGTTCCACCACCTTATCAAAAGATGTCTCCCGAACGCCATCAATATTCAGCCCGATATCTGAGAATTGCTGGACTGATTTCCTCCTCAACAAACCCCTCCACCACCATTGTAACTTGGATGCTGCAACATCCTCACTCATTGTAGTCTCCTCATTTACACTTGACGACTCTTGTTCGTCACCTTCCGATGCAGTGGAGTCGCCAGCCGACTTTCTAGTCATGGTGCTGTGAGCCCGTGAGCGTCTTGTGGCTTGGCGAATTCGCAGCTCTTCCCTTCTCCTCTCAGCCTCGGCGAGACGCTCTTCCATCTGCAACTTCAATTTTCGTATATCCTGCTCCCTTTTCTCTTTCATGCTTTCTGCTATTGCCTTGGCACGCTTGACTTCTTCAGCACAAGCCGCGACAATCTCGGCTAGGTTCTTTTCTCGTGCTTGGGCGGCGGCCAACGCGCGCGCTTCCGAGTTCGAACTCTTCTGCTGCGCTGCTTTCGCTACAGCAGCCCTCAGGCGCACCTTTTCGGCATGAGCGGCTCGGTCGGCAAGGCGGGCTTTACGGTCCTCGAGAATAGAAGCACGTCGCATCTGTTGGGCGATGAATCTGCTTTGGGGACCGCCATGGTGGGCGAAACCGTGAGAAGAACGGGACTGGGCAGAGGCTATGGAGTTTCTACGCGAAGAAGCAGCAGAGTCCTTTCGCCGAGTCTGTGTTGGGCGATAGAAGCGCGCAGCGATGTGGGGAGGTGGAGTGTGAATCCGCTGCTGTTCGTCGTCTTCTTCGGTGGCTAGAGTCATGTCTAGATCGAGATCGGAGTCTGGGGCAGTGGGATCGGGAGTGCCCACGGACTCTTCTATGTTGCGAGCCGGGTCGGCCAGATCTACGGATGCGCGGCGCATGTTGACGGTAATTGTTTAGGTGTTGACGTTGGCGGGGACAGTGCGCGGCTGGCGTTTTGCATTTCAGATGCCAGGCTTACCGGAGACGGAAGAGAAACTAATCCACAGAAGTGGGAAGCGACACAAAGAACCGACAATGTCTAGTCTAGCGCGAGGATTCGGAAAGGAATACGCTGAATTTGTATGCCGCACACGGCGCCGAGTGTCAGAAACAAGGGCTTACTCGAGAATAGTTGAACCCACTGATGTTGTGGTTGCAGGCGTCGTACAAAGTGTAGTCGGCTAGGTATGTTGTTGGCGTAGTTACAGAATCACAAGGGGCACTGATTGCAGCAGAAACAAGTGCCGCAAACAAGCGGGCAGGGATGCTGTCGCATAGAACAGATGGTCAGATTGTGATGAATAATGCAATTGGGATGATAAAGTGGCAGCGTCAACGATCAGGTTGTTTTGTGTTGGAGATGGCGCAAGTTCATCGGCCCAACTAAGTAGGTAGGTACTTAAGTAATCACAGAAGGCCAGAAGGATGTAGAAGGATGCAAAGCAGGTGCGGGTAAGTTACGGTAGGTAAGATATCGTGTAAAGGAGTAGGCAACACACGTGATGCAAGGATATGATGGCTTCAGCTTGCTTCAGCTTCAAGTTTATTAAGGGATTCCCATGGACCAGGAAACCGTAAGCCTACGTAGCAGTGTCTGTGGTGATGTGGTAGTGTCGTTGAAACAGGACCGTGGCGACGGCAATGCCGCAGCACGCACAGGCTTCAAAAGCCCAAAAGATCCAAGGATTACCTAGACTATGACACCAGATGGCTGGAAACGATGCTAGTTAAGAAGCAGCTTGATGGAGCCCACCCTGGTCGGTAGTGAAACAAGTTCGCATCGAGGTTGCTGGCTCCAGTCTCGCTGCTCGTTGTCCTACGTGTATAGATGATTGTCATCGATGATTGTGCAAAGCAGAAGAACAGAAAGCGACAGACAATCTATTTACCTAACATATGTAGTTACCCATCTACCTATCGACCTACCTACTGTGTATTCTTATGTCATGCATATGTAGTCATCATTCTTGATCGCTGTCTTTTGCTTTCACAGACAACCCAACGCATGCATGTTCGAGTCCTTTGCACATACAGTCGGGCTTGTGGCTCATGTCAGATCATGACAAGTGCTCCTTTTCTTCCATCTCTATCTTCTTGCTTCTGCTCAACCTCGAATTCCTCACACATTATACTATGTAGTACACCCCAGACTCGACAGGATGGCCCGGGGTGATCTACTTACCTTTTATACATGTACGCGCACTTATGATCCGAGGTTGCATCGCTAAGCCCTGCCTGTGGCCATACAGTAAATATCCGGTGTTGTCTCTACCTACGCTAAACCCCATCGGCTCTCCTTCTCTAGCTCTCGTGATGCCCATCATTTTAGCGCCGGCCCGGGACCTGTACGCTGCATTACATGGGGGCTGGCGGTCTAGCTGCTAGCGTCATTCAAGATTAAGATGGTGAAGCTGTCATCATCAATGTCGCAAAAACGCCCGCTTCTGTCCTTATCTGCCGTGTAAGACACTCACCTAGGTACTTAATCCCATCCCGTCTTACCAAATATTCCCTATCTGACTAATCGCAGCAGGCAATGAACCAAGTTCGTCCTCTTTCTTTCTATTGGTTGTTTAAACATTGCGTGTAATACCTACTGCTGCTCCCGAACCTGGCGACAGGGTGGGTAAGCTCGAGCCTCGAGAGGTTCCTGCAGTGGCACGGAAGATCGGCCGCCTCGATCTGCAGTCCCGGCCTACTTCGTACACAACTCCTTGGCCGAATGCGGGGAGAAAATGTGCCTTCTTGAGTTTCGACCCACGGCCAGCAATAGTGTACTGGGACACTATGACGGCTTACATGGCATCACGTCGGCATGCTGTTCCGACCAACAATAAATAGACAGTGTCTTCTTGATAGGAGAAGCAAACCCTCTTTATTAGGGAGAACTGTCGTAGCCTCATCAGTGGCTTGATTCTTGTTATCATACTGGCTCTTGACATTTCGCTGTCGGTTCACATGTGAAATCAGACCCGATAAAGATCACGATACTGTCGGGAAGGGTGAAACACTATTACACCCGTACTAGTAACACGTGAGACATCTTCATGTGAGATGGTGTATTCAACTTCGAGTCCAGTCTGAACAGGTGTTACTCTCCCTAGCCAAACAAATCTCCGACAATGCTCGGGATACACTCTCTATTATGTTTGCACATCTGGATGGACCGCAAATGGCTGTCATACCATCTAGGTAGAGAATTCGAGTAACCTAGTCTTTACCCTCGAGCTATTCGAAAGGAATCATCCCGTAAGTCGATTAGGAGCAAAGCATTCGAAAATTTCCCGCAAAAAAGCTTGCCCGGTAGGTGAGAAAAATCAGTACGATACGATTATGTGAAAGTCGAGAGCAAAAGTAGGTCTGTCCTGGCGGTTTCAGTCGTGCGAATTGGACGTAAGGAAACCTGTGGGTGTCGAATCGCAAACCCTAGGCATGTTGACTTACCCCTTTTTCAAGTTGAATATATTGAATCTGCTTTGGAACACCTCCCAGTTCGTATGTTCGTATAGTGTGTCTACGCTCTGTATGATGTAGCCGTGATTGTGAGACAATACAATGCCTATTGTGCGCCGATCCTCAACTAGCTTATACCTGATATCTGATATGCAGCCGATCACAGGCGTTCAATAATGAGGAGTCTCGGTCTGTCTTGGTATAAAAGACAGATGAAGTCCAGATATCACGTTGTTAAATGATTGGCTAGGAGGCAATCTTGACACCACGTACCTAGCCGAGAACCTAGCCTATTCGATATATACTGGATGATACCTTTTAGGTTACCTTTCGTTTGTACTTGATATCCAGGTAGGTCATAGCTACTCGCTACTTTCGTTCGCGAAAGTCCTTAATCGGCAAAGGCGGGTTGAGTGACTCGCTTTCCAGGCAACATGTCTCGCTCCGTGAACCTGTTCGAGATGTGGAATGGATTTGATGGTTGCCGGACATATTCGTGGCGCAAGTAGCGGCTACTAGTTATTCGCCGTGCTTATAGTTTATCTCATCTTGCCAGAGACATGAGGCAGCGTTCTTATCGGAAGTAGCATGATGATGATGACGGATGGTTTGGGAGGAGAGATGCCGAAGAGAGCGGTGAGTGGCTTGGGATTTCAGGAACCTGTTTGGGTACCTGACATTAGATAGTGACGGGCCTGGACTGGAGCATCGTCACGTTCCACCTGGAAGCGTCATGAAATGGCTTGTAAACACATCCTTGAGCAGCTGTATCTCGTCTCTTCTTTATTAGCCATGAATAGATTCCTAAACAAGAAGCAGGCATCCATATCCCTTGTATGTCTAGTGAGTTGTACACTTAGTAGTACCCGTAAGCCCATGTGCCGCTTCTAAAACCGAGACTGATCGATATCTAGAGCGAGATGGCGGCCTATTAAAAACAAAAGAACGAAACGTGGACTGTAATTGACTGAGCGCACTCGAACTGAAAGCGGTCAAGGACTCGACCACGCGGAACCACAACTGGCGGCGATTTGATGAAGAAGCACAGAGAAATGCTGGCTCAGCTTACTAGAGAGCATTTCTTCTCGTAATGTGTACTAAGCCATTCAATCGAGAACAGGGTCTGACATACTGAGGTGGCTTGAGGTTCCGTAAATTGTGCAGCATACACTTGAGTCTAGCCAAGGCAGATGGTAGACTACAGTGTTGCGAAGCTACCTTGTAAGTAGGTATCTACTTAGGTAGTTACATAACTAACCCAGATATGGCGAGTTTATGCGTACATCAACTGTACTAAATAAGAAATTCAAAAAACTCGGTAAGTACCTAAGAAGCCGGTACCCAGTACTACAAAGTACCTATGTTGCTGGCCACGGCAAGCGATTTGAAGCAAAATACTTACCTAACAAACACGTACTTATATTAAGTATACTAAACACGTGGGAGCGACTATCAGTTGATCTCATTTGGATTGACGTAGCATGCTATGTAAGGTGCACCAGTCAAGCCAGTGCCACGGAAAGCACCTGAGAGGATGCACTACTACCTGGAATAGAACGCCTATGATAGGCACCAAGGCTCGCTAAAAGCCGGCATTCAGTAGCACGCAGCGGGCGTCCTTACGCAGATACACGTAGGTATGATACAGTGGTATCGTAGTACATACATACATATATAATTAACATATATGTAGGTAAGTACCTAATACTTACCTCGCTTGAGTTCTTAGTAAGTACTATAGGTACTGTATCTACCTGCCTCTCTGCCGCCTTACAGGTAGGTACATGTTAGTTAGTAGGTACCTACATAGTACACTATCTGTGCGCAGTGACAGGGCCGATAGCAGGGACCTGGGCGGGCTCGGACGGGACTTGGGGGGCTTGTCCCCACCCGGTAGCGATAAACGCCACCCTCTCCGATCCCAGATCATGTACCTACAACCTGCCTGACATATCTACTACTATACCTAATTTACATTACGCCGATGCGTTCGCTTCCAGACCTCTCCCATACCACACTTCTCCCACCCTCGTCTTCGATATCCTCCCGTCCAATCTGACCCAACCCGAGACGGCCATCCTTACCCCCCCAGATGTATACCTCATGTCCTGGCCTTCTCTTCCGCTCGAAAATGCCGCATCTGCTGCACGGGTGAGCGAGCCCCTTCCAGTCACGTCAATTCCTCATCCTGGTCCCTCTGCTCCCTCTGCTCCCTCCGCCCTCTCCCCCACCACGACTCGCCCGGCTCCCGTGAGTGCGAATGACGAACAGCCCTCTTCGCCCCCAGCTGTGACTGGCTGCCCGCCAATTCAAGACGACACATACCCTCGTGGCATCATCTCATCCCCTTTGCCGGGCCCCCAGCTTGTGCCTGTCCCATCCTCCACACCTCCATCTTCGGCTGTTGCCGCTAGCCATGGCGACCACGTCAATAAAAGGCCAAGGCCGCCGCTGGCTGTTCCCAGGAATAACGGACCTTCTCTCCTCTCCCAAGCTCTTGCCTCAGCACGTGGAATTTCTTCATCTTCCGTCGCGGCCCAGCCAGATCAGCGCCAGCCTGGCCACAGTCACGCACAGTCCAATGACCAAATACGATCATATCAACCCAAATATGTATCCGGTAACCCCCAAGAGCTGACACTACTCGAATCGCGCCCTGAGACCTCACCGCATTCCTCAGGCGCCTACTTGCCGCCACCTACCCCTCGGAGGCCAATTGATCCTGTCCGAACCCTGTCGATGCCTTCCTTGCACTCGTCGACGTTCTCTGCAACTTTGACCGTGGTTCCTAAGTCCATCCCGATGCCTGGGCTTACCGAGACGGCTTCGGTTATTAGGGGCCATCCAGGTTCATTTCTTATACCTCGAGCGAGGGGAAGATCACTGGAGCGCACTGAGAAAGAGGCCCGTCTCCATTGGATTGACACTAGTAAACCACCCCTGGATAGTGTTGGGAGTTCTGCATATAACTGTGGCGACAGCGCCATCTCTCGTTTTGGTTATTCAGAGTCCAACTCTACTTCGCGTGCTGAATACCGAGCATGGAGGACGGAAAGAACAATGTCAATAGGCCCGGAGAAAGCATGGTCTATTGGTACTGGGGGGTTTGTTGGACATCAGAATGGTCAAGTCGAAAAATCCATTACCGAGGTACTAGCTGGGATGGAGCCAACTAGGAGCCGCAAAGCAAGCCACAGTCTTCGCTTTTTCAAGGAAGGTCTTCCAGTTGATAAAATCAAACGGAAGGAGTCTAGGTTCACATCACCGCAGGAAAAGATATCTCCATCCAAAGTTTCACGACTAGAGGTGCAGCCACAGGCTTACAGCTCGTCTAATAAATGCCCCAAGATTCCGACTCCGCCACATGAGTCTACCCAGGTTGCAGACCCGCAGTCTCCATCACATAGTGAAGATCTGCCATCTAGTACATGGCCTCCCCAGACCCCTTTGGATCGACTCACTGAAGGTGACTACTTTAATCTACAGCAGGACGAGGTCGTGGCGACAGAGCCTATTAAAATTCAAGACCGGAGAGGAAGCTCTTCTCCGCCATTAGAATTCACACGCCGCTCTCGTCTAGGAAGCAAGGATATTGGGACTAGTGAAATCAATACACACGACCTTGCAGAACCGGAAAGTCATGTTGCAACGACTGTTGAGGAAGATGAGCTGTCGTCTGAAGAAAAGATATCATCTGCTGTATTCTTGCCGCATCAGGGCCTGGATGATTCTACAGGGAAGGGATCTTGTGTTATTGAGAAGGTCGAGCCACAACAGTCTAGTGCTCGTTCCACTACCGAGGGTTTCCACCCGTGGCTTGTAAAAGCAGATGATCCGGAAGCCAGAGGCGAAAGTCCGACTAGCCTACGCCACGAAGATGTACCAAAGGATAAGAAAGACAACATACTGCTTGGTCGGAATGTTATCCAAAAGGAAGACCACCAAGATACTACTTCAGCTGAGAGTGACCTCAAAAAGAAGCCTAGTGACACACACACAATGATATCGCGCCCAGTTCCTCAGTATTACGAGGATATGGTTCACGAGCATCAGATGGAGCCTAAAGTACCGCTTGAAGCTATTGAGCTTATACCATACAAACATCAAGTTGGGGGTCACACCACCATCTGGAGGTTTTCCAAAAGAGCTGTCTGTAAGCAGCTCAATAATCGAGAAAATGAATTTTATGAAAAGATAGAACGATACCACCGCGATCTTCTTCCTTTCCTGCCAAGGTTTGTTTTCACATACAATGCCATCTTGATCTAGCAGCCTTTTGGCGTTGCGGACTAGCCAAAACCACCAGGTGAACATGACTAATTTTTAAGGTACAGATATATTGGTGTTCTGAATGTTACGTATCAGAAACAGCCCCGTCGGAGGTCGACAGCCAAACAAGACGAAAGCCTAGCATCTGAGAAAATTCACAATGAATCTGATGTTCAGCCAAATGCTGTCGAGAGGGTTACCAAATCTAGAGTCCGTCCATCGTCTAATGGCTATGAAGAAGAAAACCGCCGAAGGATTGTCAGTCAGTCGTTACAATCAGGACACATCCCAGTTCCCACTGTAACTTTCGTTGATAATCAACACATTCTACCTAGAAGCTTGCTGCAGCCTTCTATGGTCTCAGGGCTTAAGGAACGCCCTAGAAGTGCATCTGCAGCTATGTTACAGCAACCTGTAAGCGACATGCTGTCACCAACACTCGAACACGAGTCATCTCGAACTCCACGGCCCACGCTGGAGTCTCGACACGCGAATAGCTGGGGGGCAACAATGGTCAACAAGAAACTCAGGAATGAAGTGTTCAATGATGCGTTCCTACAGCCTATTACTGTACAAAAACATCAGAAGCCTGCATCGTACCACCGCTTGGTTCCCCGCCGCTCAGTGCAATCTAGTCTATCGAAATCTATGGCAGTTCCCTCAACAATGAAGGGTGAGCACAATACCGCTTCATCCCACAATTCAAGCGGTCTCAGAAGCCCGGCAAGTCTTCTGCAAAGTCAGAGTGACCTAGGGCCAAGAGATGATTACTTGATCGTGGGAGGCATGGACTTTGTCAAAGACGTGACTGGGACCAGTGCACCCGAAGCAGACCTAATGGGAGAAAAACTGTCACCACGTGCCCAAAAACGACGCTATTCTGGCAGCAAGCTGCGTCGTAAACCTCAAGATGTCGGAGATTCGCGTGGCGATTTAAAATATTTCGAAGACGCAGATGATGTGAGATACCGAGGTGATAGTGAGGCAGCGATAACCTCACCACGCTTTCAATTCTCGGCCAATGGCGATAATTCAGCTTCAGAAAATGTGGAGGATAGAAAATTGGCAAGCATTGACCCCCAGAAGTTCGAACTACCTTCTGCAGATCTTTCTAGAACTCCCAACCTAGAAATGGAGATACAAAGAATTCCACGCCCAATCAACCCGAAAGAAGCCCAAACCCAGCGTGACTCAAGAGTCGAATACTTCCTGTTGCTCGAAGACCTCACTGCTGGCATGAAACGACCCTGTATAATGGATTTGAAGATGGGAACTAGGCAGTATGGTGTGGATGCTAGTCCCAAGAAACGTGAGTCTCAACGCAGGAAGTGTGCAGAGACGACATCTAGGGAGTTGGGGGTCCGGGTTTGTGGTCTTCAAACATGGGATGCCAAGTCGCAGACTTATATTTTCCGGGACAAGTATTATGGGCGAGATCTGAAAGCCGGGAAAGAGTTCCAAGACACTTTAACTATGTTTCTGTACGACGGCGTGGATCTTAGCAGTGTCCTTAGACATATTCCCACTATACTCCAGAAACTCAATCAACTCGAAGTAACCATCCGTCGACTGCGTGGCTACCGGTTTTACGCAGCAAGCCTATTAATGTTCTACGATGCTGCGGCACTCGGCAGTGATAGCGATGCGACTGCCGAGGACTCGACCACCGACTTCGCTACCGACACGGAGGATACTTGGGACGTAAAGAGACGTCAAAAGAATAAAGGCGAAATCGATTTCAAGATGGCTGACTTCGCGAATAGCGTGACAGCTGGTGACCTAGCCACGGACAAGCCATGTCCGCCGAAGCATCTTGACGAGCCGGATCGGGGCTTCCTACGGGGGCTTTCCACGCTTCGAAAATATTTTTTGCGAATACAGAGGAATGTGAGACATGAGATGGGACTAAACCCGCCACGCAGGCACGATGAGGATGCCAGAGCGATTGAAGATGATTATGACGAGCAGACTGTTAGTGAGTGAGGTTGACTTCAATTGCACGTCTCTTCGGGCTGGCGTATGGACGGACACTACGGGATAGTGTGAAGTTATAACCAAGTCTTTTTCCTTGTTTGCGACTGATACCCTAGAATGGCGCAGAGGAATGGTTTGCGCTTTTCGTTTTCTCTTCTTCGCTGTTGAGCCGTCGCATCCATCTTTGCTTTGCTTTGCTTTTGGTCTTGAGGTCGGGGCTTGGTCTTTGTTCAAAAACATACCCTGCATATCTTCGGCGTTTATCAGCGGCGGCATAATGGGATAGCTAGAGACATTGGATGGATGGGAACCGTAGCTCATAGCAATCAATGTTATGACTTTTGCTGGAGGTAGTCAGCATAGCTGACTACCTCAACAAGCTTTAGTCCCAGAGGCACATGGTGCCTATGCTGATGAACGAGTCCTAAGTAATAGCAGTTTTGATGTTTATAAGTAGGTTGATAGACAAACTGAGAAAGTATTATCCTACCACGACCCAAAAGCATGTTGCATGTGTGTCATGATATGTGTCTAATATTCTAAGTTCGTGCCATGTATCACCTGCTTCCTGTGAAGAAGTCACATGATACGTTAGATGTGTCTTTGTACTGATGAAAAGGCTTCATCGTGAACCCTCGTCCATGATTGTAACCTGAGGTTTCTACATCAGGACTGATACCGGTAGTAGGAAATCTGGTCAATGGCTTCAAGTGGCTTACCAACTGTGCATGTACATGTACATGTATGTAAGTATGTACTGCGTACATGCATAGAAGGTTGCCTCTGTAAGGCTAGAGCAGGCGGGGCTTCATGGGCAGGGTTGATAGGCAGGGTTTATAGGCAGGGGTAGCTGCTTGGCAGATGCTTGGGAAGGTGGGGTAGGTGCCGCGCTGTACTATGTACCTACTACTTTACTTGTAGGGCTGAAGGTGACAGATCTTAACAGCCAAGCTGCCTCGACTGCTTAAGCTGCTGGCTGCATCACACATTCGTTTGAGTAGTTCCATCGGGCGATGGCACAGCGCCTCAACCTCTCTCTTTCACCATGGCAAAGACACCCGTTGAAGGTGCCAAGGCTAAGACGATAGTCTTCCTGCACCCAGACTTAGGCATTGGCGGCGCTGAGAGGCTTGTCGTCGATGCCGCCGTTGGCCTGCAGAAGCGCGGCAACAAGATAGTCATTTTTACAAGCCACTGCGATCCGGGCCACTGTTTCGACGAGGCTCGCGATGGTAAGTTCTCTAAGAATAATGGTTTCTTCCTTTCTATGATATCCGTTGACATTGACAATTCCATTTCAAGGGACCCTCGATGTCCGCGTCCGTGGCAACACCATCATTCCGCCCTCCATCCTTGGTCGATTCAGTATACTATGCGCCATACTACGCCAACTTCACCTAATCCTCCAGATATACTTCACCTCAGAGCTCCGTGACCTACACCCAGATGCATACTTCGTCGATCAACTCAGCGCCGGTCTGCCATTATTACAGTATCTACACCCACAGGGGCGCATATTCTTTTACTGCCACTTCCCTGACCTCTTGCTGGCTCAAGGTAGGCAGAAGTGGCTGAAGCGTGTATACCGGGTGCCCTTCGACTTTGTAGAGCAATGGAGTATGAGCTTTGCAGACGTCATTGCCGTCAACTCCAACTTCACCAAAGGCGTCGTCAGTCGGACGTGGCCGGCTCTCGCGCGCTCGAGGGATCTACGGACCGTGTATCCTTGCGTCGATACTAAGACCAAAGAAAAGATGCTGGATGACAAGCCGTTGTGGAATGGGATGAAGTTCGTCTTGAGCATCAACCGGTTCGAGCGCAAGAAGGACATCGCACTCGCCATTAGAGCTTTCGCCCGCCTGAGTAAGCAGAAACGTGCCGGCGTGAGACTTGCCGTTGCCGGAGGTTACGACCCGCGCATCGCTGAGAATGTCGGCTGTCATAATGAGTTGGTGGCATTGGCTGAGTCTCTGGGCCTCAAGAATCTGACGGTCAGGACCCTACAGACAGCTCAAGCTGTACCACAGGACGTCGAAGTCTTGTTCCTCCAAAACGTGACCAACCTACTGAAGGAGATGCTCCTGTCGTCAGCTCGTCTTCTGGTCTACACCCCTGCCAACGAACATTTCGGCATCGTGCCCCTTGAAGCAATGCTAAGCGGTGTCCCCGTCCTTGCCGCAAACACGGGTGGGCCTGTAGAGACTGTCGTAGAAGGGCAGACTGGCTGGCTGCGCTCTCCCGACGAAGTCGACGAGTGGGCTGCAGTCATGGATAAGGTTCTTCACCAGCTCAGTCCGCAGGAGCTTGCCAAGATGTCTCAGGCAGGTATTGAGAGGGTGAAGAACTTCGGGGAAGCGGAAATGGCTCAACGCATGGACGCAATATTTGATGAGACACTCAGCACGAAGAAACGCTCGGGAGGTAATATAGGAACGGTAATCTTTCTAGCAACGGGGTTAGGCGTAGCTACTGCGACGGCGACTGTTTTTGCTAAGTTATGGTCATTCTAAAGGAAATATCTGGCGCACTTACCTCTACTTGATGTGCCGGATGCGGCGATGGCGGAGAACGTCTTGTACAATACCCAGGTAGAGCTATGTAGACTTGTGATGCGTTCTATATACTGTTTTAGATACTGTCCTGTTCGTAAACTGATTATCTATGAGCTGACTACGGGAATCCAGACTAGTGACGCAGCTGTGAGACTATATCCTTTGTACAACTCAATAGACTGAGTAGGCAGGATTGGACGGCTCTTTATACGGCGGTTTTTCTAGAAGCGAAGCTAGAAATCCAACTAGGTGGCGAGAAAGGAGAGCATGTAATCTAGAATTGTAAAATTGCCGAGATGACTCTTTGTCGCACTGCATCGGTCACGTTCCAAACCCATATCTGCGCGGATATATAGCTAGTAAGGTAGGGAGTTGGGAAAGTTGGGTTTAGAAGGAGGGATGATCAATTTATATCATATCGTGCAGACAAATCTACTAGGCACGTATTTAGTATATGTTTTTGCCACAATAGTATTGCTTGCTCGCTCCCTTGCTACGCAGGAGCTCAACCTTGGATTTAACTACGCTGTCTATATCACTATACCTCCCTCCCTATCTCTACCTAATTAAGACAGACAGTTGTCAACAATACCAATAAATAAATAAGCCAGTCAGTCTGTCAGTGAAGTGCGGTGATACTGGAGCCATGGCCGTCGACACGACGCTTTTCAAAACCTGCGACGGCTGCCATAGGTCTCTGCGCCTGGGCATGTTCTACGACGCGCGCACCGGGGAGATAAGGCCCGTGTGTCGATGCTGCGAATATCAGGCTGCGCTGGAGAATAGCCCGCCGAAGAATCCGGTGTCGAGGCGGTGGCGGGCTACTGTGCGGTCGTTGTTTTAGGGACTAGTGTTATGATTGATTGATTAATTGGTATCTGGATTGAGTTGCGGTGTACGGCTGATGGCGACACGATTACTTTTAAGGGTGTTGGTGTAATGGGATAACACTTTGCAGGGGGTAAATTGAGATTTGATCACATCTCGATACTGTCTACCTAGGATTGAACGAGAAGAAGAAGATCACTCATATTTTGGGCTGAACTTGCGACATACGAGGTTCTGTTTTCTGATATCGCTCTCTGGGTATATAAAATTAACTCGTACATTATGAAACAATCAGTCTAGTGAATTCAAAGTTCGCAGAGCATCCTTGCATCCCTGTGTCCGCGAATCACCTCGTCATCGTGTCCCTCTATGTCGTTAGAAGGTTGAACTGATTGAAATTCGGGTAGCAGATATAATCCAAGGCGTAATTGAAGATGTCCCCTAGTAGTCATTGTTTTTGAGGAGGCTAACTTTTAAGTATGTGTCGCTCGCTTGAGACTCTACTAGTGCCCTTAACATAGCGAGGGAGAGCTCAGTCTGGTAAGGTGAATTAGGGCATCTGCATCAGCGGAACCTCACATAACATCCGGTTTGAAAATTATGCCATCTTTCTGTATCTTAAGAGAGGGGTCCGATAGGTATGTCCCTCTTATCGCAGGCCACATATATTATCCCACTCTGTTTGTCTGGTTCTAGTGAGCACAATCAAACGCATTGGAGGCTCGAGAGACGGAAAGTCGTGCTGGTTCACAAGCCGAGATCATGCACATCGAAAGACCAAAGGTCGTCAAGCTGTATTGTCATATCGCTGTCCATATTTATATGTGGTGCTGTCGCCGGGGTAGAAAGGGGGTGTTCAAGTGCCTTGGGGTGTAAAGGAGTTTTAAATCGGCTCAAAAGATAATCGATCTCAGTGCAGGCCAACCTTGTGGCTTTATACCTGTGCTGCGCTTTTCTGAACTGGCCTGCTGGCAGTAAGCTACCGTTTTAGAGACCAATAATCCAGACACTTACGTATAAGGAATCGAGGCACTTCCCACATGCTTGAGAAATGTTCCAGGAACAGGAGCAGTAAGTTTTGACCTTGATCAAGGCCTGCAATGATAGGGATTTCAGGGTCAGCCGTGCTCCAGCGATGTATTTCTAGGAAGCAAAGAGCTGAATATACGATAAAACACTGCGAGGCCTCGTTAGTCGCAGTTATTTTGAACGGTTTCAATTATTTATTTATGAGTAAGAGATGTCATAGAACTAGTAGATATTGCAAGGCAAAAACGCAAGGTCTCGAAGGTGCTTACTATTGCCGGATCAATCCGAGGGGAGTGCTGATTATCCCATTGTTCCACTACCGAAATGATATTTTGACACGGTTCAAGAGTTGCCAGCCAATTCTGCATGAACTCCTCATCATTTCCATCAAGCTTGGGAGGCAGAGCCGTGATTAAATGAGCCATGTGTAAATGAAGAATATTAGTGAGCCTGGCATGGTGATCTCGGCACGATTCACCACTGAGGGCATTTCTCGCAGGATTGAGATATCGATGGGGTAGAGCAAGTCGCAAGGCGGCCAGGGCGCCTTTGAGAGCCGTGGTCTTGGTAGGCAGTCTTTTTCCCTCCGTTCGCAACCTCATAACTATAAATAAGCGAGGGGTTAGCAATTTCTGTAGCTTTGAAGAGTTCTCGTAAAGACTTGGTGTATAAGTCGACGACAATACCGCACGTGTGCTAAGAGTTTTGATAGAAGGTTAGAATACATACGGTAGCCAGCTTGCCGCAAAATGGTCGTCGTGACCATATGAAGGTTGTAGTTGATCATGATGCCGTTAGAGATGACTGCCTTTGCTGTTTTCCAAATATCTTCAACCTCATCAGGTAGAAATACTTTGGGGATGGAAACCAGAAGCTCATCAGCTTGGTTGTACGGCTTTGTTGCGAGTGACGTATTGATGCTTTCAAGCTCAACAACAAAAGGAGTTCCGACAGTGATGTTCGAGTAAGAGTCCAAACAATAAATGCACCAGAAGAGATGACGCCAATCCTCCAAGTCTTCTTCAGTCGCTGTAGAGAAGTCGACGGCTGAACATAATTCTGGATTTTCAATTTGATTTATACCGACTCTGTAAGCTTTCCGGGCGAGTCTACTTATCCGCATCCAGGAACTAGACCCTGGAAATTGATGGAACTCATAGTAAGCGAGTAGACATTCCAATCTGAAAGACTCGAGGCTCCTATCAGTATTACCAGCAGTTTCAGGCGATGCAGTTCCGAGCAGAAACTTCATGCATAACTCCACGTCTTCAGGCTTCCAGAAGCTAACAGGACCCAGAACTCTCGCAGTCACTGTGACAATGGCCACAAGCAGGGTTTTCTCCACTAGACCATCATCAAATTGTTTGAGAAAGTGTTCGGTTCGAAACAGTGGTATTGCGGAATGCACCTCATCGAAGAAATGCACAAGGCTGCGAAATGTTAGCATATATAGGTCCTTGCAAAACGGATGTGTCGGCCTACAGGCCCCTTTCGTGGTCACGACTCAACGAGTACCCAGGGTATGTGATATGGCTCCCAGTGCGTGCTATCGTGAGCACTGGATCATATAAAGAGTTATGGAGGGAGAACTCTCCAAATTGCACTTCTTGTTGAGGTATACGAAAATCTTGAAACGTATCTGGGGGTATAGCGTCCGGCACATGTGCAAGACAGCTTTGGTCTAGCGTCATGGAGATAGCCCCCTGATCATTCGGCGTCACCGGCGTCTCAGTTGAAGCTGAGCCTATTGAGGGTGAGGCTGCATGTCTCTGCCGACGCGATCCTCGCGGCGGACCGGGTTTCTTGCGCTCTGCTGAGTAGGTGCAAGGCAAGCCTGCCTCTGAGCAGCGCGAGCAGCAAGGCCGCTGTAAGTCACCTATAGGCGATGAATGAGCTGGATTCCCTCATGGCGGGATAGCCTTCACTTACATTTCACCTTTTTGCTAACAGTACACTATCAGCCAGGTATTTCTTCAACATGTCTTGGTGATAATAGGACTTAGAGCGAGCTTGGGTAGCTACAAACCGGATACAACGATCACAAACACGCTTCTTAGCGCTTAGTGGCATTGCTCACAAGGAAGTTCAAGAGCAATCAAACGGAAAGAAGCCATTGGACTCGTAGCTCTGTAGTATCTATCTCAAATCGTCAAGATACTTATACCTGCTCACTGATGAGTCTGTGAGATGCTTCGTATGCTTACGAGATCAGCATTGTCTGACTTGGAGACTCCGGGGGGGGGGGGTTCCCTGCACGTTACAGCTTGGGGTAGGTAGGGGATGTACGTGTACTTTATATACCTGATAAGTTCAATTTCAATTAGCGGGTAATCAGTTATCCATATTGTCTTCGCATAGTACAAGATATATTCACTAACCCGGCTTACCCAACCTTCACACACACATTCCAAGTTCGTCGAGACAAGATCGCGGCCATTTCATGATGCATCTCCCTGTCTTACACGTAATATTTCGCCTTCGAACTTCCAACAAATATCCCAAGTAATACCTAACCATAACTACATAGTTGTTATTCATGAACGCTTCCGTGATAGCTCTCAAGCTGTAATTAGCTTCGCCGTGTCGTCACCAAAGTCTTTTGGCACCTCTGGCCCCCAAATCGAAAAAGGGCCCACGACTTCCCGCGTTCTGGGAGTGTCCCCGTTCACCAAATCTCCATCGGCGTAGTGCTCGATCTTGAAGCCGCTCGGATCTTTCCAGTAGTCAAAGATTTGACTGCCTAGGATATGTCGCCCAACACCCCAGACGCATTCATGGCCCTTCTTGGCTAGATACTCGTGCCCGATCAGTTGCTCGTCGAAATCGGCAACTTCGTACGACGTGTGATGCAAGTAGCTCTTCTTGACCTCTGGCGATGCTCGTTGCATGAACATGCAATGGTGGTCGGAAAATTCCTTGCCCAGGTCAAGGTGTAGGAATGTAAGAACATCAATGTTAGAGAAGACCGGGTGGTACAAGACATTAGATGGCACAAGATTGAAGTTGCCCGTATACCAGTTGATCTCTGTGTCGAAATCTCGATAAACTACCCCGAAATGACCGAGCTTGTGTACTAAGGCTGGGCCCTCGCGGTACCTTTGGAAGGTTCCTTGCAGCAAATTAGTCACGCTCCTCTGGTGCTGGGGACGCTGTGTCCTGCGTGAACTTGTACGGGAAAATGTTTACCTTTCCTGAGCTTTTGGAAAGGGCCATTGTATGGTCCTTGAACCTCGTGGGTTGCCGATGGCACAGATTTCTCTGCTTCTCTTTCAATCTGACCATAAACAACATGAAAATGTGTATCGTCGGATCTCGTGAAGCTAATCATCTTTCCACCTCCAGGCGCGTCAGCCAGACTGGAAGGCGTTGCCCCTGGTAAAAGCGCCGCCTTCTCAAACTCTTCTTCCGATTTGGCTACGAAGGCGGCGCCTCCAAATCTCGGGTTGCCATCTTTGCTCTTGCTAACGACATACTGCAAACATCGGGATTCAGTTATTGTCCTTACAGGAAACCCAAGACCGTAGAAGAAATATTGTTTGTGGTTTAGTCGGATTTTCGGGTTTCTTCATACTTGAGATGAACGAAGAAAAGGGATAAGAAGTATCATGCTACGCACCACGTAGGGATCGACACCATAGCCCCTATACCAGATTTTATTGTCATCTCGTTTCGCCTCTACGAAACCCCAGTCTTTCGCAAATTCGGAGAACAACTCCAAGTCCGGATGTTCAAAATAGACATGCGCCATGCGCGCTAGTTGAACCTTCGAAGGGTTGTTGGAAATCTCGGGAATACGCATTTTGGGCAAATCTCGAATGAATTCGGGTAACCAAGAAAGTAAGGACAGTAAATAAAGAGACATTGGCAAAGTTGAGTTGCGAGGAAGGATATCGCGTCGATGCGAACCCTTTTGAACACTTGCAGCCGTTGGGGACTTAACCAATACATCATAGATGAGCCACCCTTGCTCGGCGAGTTCCTCCGCGGATCAATTAGTAACTAAGCCGGTGAAACAACAAAGCGCTCAGCACCCAACAACCAAGAACATCAATTACCATACGCCAGAGATAGTATTGGTATAGTATTTGGAAACGCCAACCAATGAGCCTACGCAACATCGGTAGTGGGGGCTTAGGAGCAACATAAAATACAACCTACTCGCATTGAGTAGTATCTTAACCACCGGTCCTTGTTCAAGTCAGCGGCTTATTCAATCTCGGGGGCCTTTTCTAAGTTCTTTTAGAGTGGTTCAATGGATACTACAGAAGTCATCATTGTCGGTGCTGGGCCAGCTGGCCTAGCATTAGCGATCAGCTTGTCAAAACTCAAAGTGAAGGTCAGTAAGCTGCGCGATGTTACATAAATAAGCAAATACTCATCTTCACTAGTCTATCATACTAGAAAAAGAACTCGAGATTGTAGATGACCCTCGAGGAATTGCTATAACGCACGATGCAGTCAGAATCTGCTGGGATCTTGGCCTTGGTGGTGACATGGAAAACATTAGTCAAGGTAAGAGGCCTCTGTTGTTATGTTAGATTGACACTACTGACAATATAGAACTACCTCATTTCAATTTCCATAAGTCTTCTTTTGCAAATCCTCCATTCTTCCAGCACGATGCATTTCCCGATATATTCTCTCAGGCGCTTCCTAGCGCTGTGTTTCACGTTCAGCCAAAGTTAGGTAGGCCGGCCTCGGCAGAGCTGTTGATTTATTTTGCATGCTAATAAGCGTAGAGTTTGCAATGCGCAAGGAGTTAGCAGGTTCGCAGTATTGCGAGCTCCGATGCGGCTGTACTGTGACAGGGAGAAAACAAGACGGCGCGGAGATCGTTGCTGAATACACAAACGCCAATGGAGAAGCAAAAAACATACGCGGTTCATGGCTCATTGGGGCAGACGGTAAAAAGGGTATAGTCAGGAAACACTTCCTCGAACCATCAGCGGGTATCCGACAAGTTGAAGGCGTCTACAAATACGATGGAACCTGGGTAGCAGCAAACCTGAAGATAACACTGCCAACCCCGAAAACACATCCCAAATTTCCTCTTTGGAAATTAGGATACACCCCGGAGCAGGTATATGACCTATTTTGGCCTATTGGTTTCCATTTTGGCAGTCCCCCTGGAAAGCCCTTGGCCGCTGGCCGCTTTGGGCCGAATGAAGCACGTCTGTGGCGCCACGAGTTCGCCCAAAATGACTGGAACGACAGCATGAACTCCGAAGAGCTGCTCTGGGAACACCTTATGCCAATGCTTACCCGAAAATGTGACGAGAATGGCCGACTATTCCCGACGGGAGAGACGATATTCCCTCATGACTGTATTGAGGTTCGACGCTGTCGCCCGTTTGAATTTACACACAAGGTCGTCAACAAATGGTTCGATGATAGAACTATCTTGATCGGAGATGCTGCCCGTGAGTAGCCTTGAAATCATCATGATCCCATTACGCTCTATGACCCGTTTCTCAAGCCTATACAAGGAAGGAAGTAGTACTGACTTTGAATTCCATAGATGTATTCCCGCCATTCGGTGGCCAAGGGATAGCAAGCGGCTTGAGAGACGCGCAACAGTTGGCCTGGCGTCTAATGCTTTTGTTGCAACTACCCAATGCCACTCGTTCTATTCGCGACACGGTTCTCCAATCCTGGGCGCAGGAACGCGCTTACAGCGTGAGGGTAGCAGCGAACTTTACGAAATTCAATGGGCAATTGTGCAACTACGGAGACTCGTGGGCGTTCTGGTTGATGCGAAACATCGATTGGGCTATCCGGTTGATTCCTTTCTTCAGCGATATGCCCGATCCACTCTCTAGGACTGAAGCGCGCGGTTTCACGACTGTTGATGGCGGTTTCTTCTCTTCTAGATATTCCGGTGGCGGACGGCTGCCCCAAGTATATTTGTCATCACGGGGGAATGAGCCAGAGTTATCCGACTTGATACTACAACCGAGGAATACAGCCCTGACACTTCTCGTAATAGCGACGGACGATCAGGCAAAGGCTGGGGCCGAGGCAAAAAAAGCTTTAGATGGAGCCCAAGTCGGCGAAGCAGTTATCAGTCGTGACTCAATACGAGTCGTATGCTCAAAGCCGTGCGCTGCTGCTTCTGATGACTTGGATATCTACTACCCAACTCCGGTAGAGCAATTATCGAACGCAGGCGTGTTCATTCGACCCCGGTATCGACCCTCGAATCTATTCAGTCGTTTCAGCTCTGATACGAAATTCGTCATTCTCCGGGCGGATTTCTTCATATTCGGTCTTGCGAAGAACTATCAAGAGTTGGTGGGGTGCATGAATGATCTCAGACAGTATATTCATGGCGAGATCTCATAGTTACGGGACACTAGGCCATAGCCTTGTTATTCTTAGATATTCTTCTTTCTCATATTAATGATATACTTGCTTGCGCTGGCTTGACTTAAGTACGGTTCTACTATTGGAGTCTTCAGTAAAGATTCCACTTCTCTTGTCGCTTGACATGGGGGTGGAAATGAATATCGAAATAGTATAACGCGGTAGAACGGCCCATTTCGTATCGGCGGACATATCTGAGTAGTTAGTCGCGTTGTGCAAGAGTTTCCATATTACCATGGTGTTATGCCGTGTTTAAGTGCTTAAGGGGTAAGACCGCGCGCCAATTATGTAAGCGAGCCGCTTGGGATTCTCGTTGTATAGGGCTAGGCGCGCTAATCATGTCACTGACCTGCTTGGATCTTTACTACTACGTCAAAGTTATGTGAATTCAAAGAGCGGCAGATGCAGAGCGCGGATACGCCGAAGCTGATTATGGGGAATGTTTGGTTTGGGGTCGAAGATAGCTACGTAGCCGAGGACGTGGGCTTGATTTCGGTTGCAGACCTCGTTTACTGGTCGCCAGATTGGCACCAAGAGTCAACAAAACTTAGATTCACGTTTGAAAATCTTTGTCAATTACCAGGCCAAGACTTTCACGTAGATTACGCGGCTTTGCGCGGTAGAATTGAGGTTCGGGCGGACTAGTGTGGAGATACTCCGGATGGGCGCTCGAAGTCTCTCCGGGGCGCTCGGTCGGATATTCCGGCGCCTGCATCGGGAGAGGATGATGCATTGGGATTGGCGTATACCTGCCTATCTAGTATTTACACTGCATCTTAAGTAATCTCGGCGGGATTGTAGCCGATATGATACCCGTGGAATTACGGAAATAGCATGATGCATGACGCGGGTGTAGATAGCCGCCCGGATGATCTCGTTCTCGTGAAGGATTCACCAACCGCTTCCCCGTTACCCACTACCGCCAGAGTTAACTAATCTCTGTGACCGACTCTGTCTCCATCACATTATATATTCACAGATTTAAGCTTCGATAGATCCCTTTGGTATTCCTCGCCAGATCAATCACTACTTATTCCACATTCATTTCATCATGGGATCTTTCACAAAACTTGTACGATTCAAGTCGGACAACGACACGGTCTATTACACTGACCTCGGCGACCTTTCCTTGGAGGCACCGGCACCCGGGTCGCAGGTCACAGCTTACATTTCCTTCGAGGACTTGCTGTCAAAACGCGATAGCGAGACCGCCACAGTCAAGGAGGTAAGGAGATCCAATATGGATGTCGATTCTGTCATGAAGAAGATAGGCATGTTCATAACCCCCGGTATACCTAGCTCCTCGCTCCTTTGCCGCAAGATGGCTTGCCAATTTATTGCGTGGGCTTGAACTACAAAAGCCACGCCGCCGAAGCAAAGGTAAGCTCCACCAACTGCCCCAATGACGGGTCCATTCATCCTGATCATTCGCTCACTATACTTGTTTCTCAGTTCGAAGTAAGCGACGCACCACCGCTGTGGGTGAAACCAGCCGCGGCGCTCGCGAATCCCGGGCAGGACATCGTCTTGAACAAGTACTGCGCAGCAAGCCTACCCGATTACGAGGTACGTAACAAAAAAAAAAAAAAAAAAAAAAAAAAAAAAAGCCCCTAAGCAAAGCATCACCACCTCTAATCCACACGTTTAAAAGGCCGAACTCGTCTTCGTGACCTCAAAAACATGCAAAGACATAAGCGAGAGCGAGGCCGAGGACGCTATCCTAGGCTACACCATCGGTAACGACCTTTCCTGCCGCCTATTCCAGATGCCGAAGCAATCAGGCGGGCAATTCTACTACGCCAAGGCCTTCGACAACTTCGCGCCCATCGGCCCCACTCTCGTGAGCAAGGCAGCGTTCCCGTTCTCCACGGCCACGATGGCTCTCACCGTCAACGGAGAACAGCGGCAGCAGGCCAAGTTCGAGGGCGATCTGGTGTTCAGTCCGGCGAAGATATTGAGTTATATGAGTCAAGGTAAGTAATCGCGTTAAATTTCTAGCCCCTCTTCTTCTAAGTAAATTGTGAATTTTCCTTTGGCGGAAGAAGAGTGAGGCTAAATCGTGTTGTTTGACTAATCAGGCACTACTATCCCGGCTTACACGGCCGTTATGACGGGAACGCCGTCAGGTGTCGGCGCGTTCATGGATCCGAAACAGTTCTTGAAACATGGAGATGAGGTCAGGATATCGATTACTAGCGTCGGCGAGCTGAAGAATAAGATTATTGTTGCTGAGTAGGTTTCCTGGTATTGATGCTCGGTTTTGGTGTGATATTCTTAGGAGGGGGGAGGCAAGGACTAACTTAAAGATCGGCGCCTCGGCGTAATGCTGGTTATTTAAGCGAATATGATGTGTTTTTACTGCCAGCTCCTTGCCTAGCTCGATTTATACGACATATTCCTTCCTTATACCAACACGTAGACGGTGAACAAGAAACATATCAAGGTTCAAAGTATAAAAGAAAACAGCATAATATTCAAGTATTAGATGGCAACGCCCTAATCTACCTTCCCTCGATATCCCCTCCATTTTTAATCCCCTTCTTTGACCTAACTAGTCACCTTTCACATCCAATCTATATCTATAAAATGCGTAAGCGGTGGAAGGGGGCGTAAGCCACGCTATCCACGCATTGATCACCCGCCCATCGTGCCAACGGAAGAAATTCTGGCAGAATGACACCGAGAACATTTTAAACGAGCAAACAAAGTATATAAAGGAGACTCTCGCGGGGAGATATCACCATGTAACCGTCGAGTCTATGTCTGATAAGTACCTATGAATAATTCCATACTATCTTACTCTTTCCAATAGACCACCATAAAATTCTATTCGAAGCCTATACTTATAATACGGATAGCGGAAATGGAGATACTATTGCGCATCATCAAAGAGGCGTAGGCTGCTGTGCTTCCAAGCGAAAATCGGCATTGTGTGGTAGGTGAGCTAAATACACGTAGCTTGAAATAACAACATCTGTTTAATTCTCGAATTCCCCAACACAGAGTTACACCTATGTGCGTGTAGTGCCCAACATTGCTCTTTCACAATTACAAGCTACTGCTATACAGTAGAAAAAGTCGCGAAATTTGAACATATTTAACTGTTTTGATTGTTTGCTATGGTGGTGGTGGTATAATTGAACTCGTTAAATGTAAAAAGTTCCCAGTTTTCTCGAAACCTCGAGGATGCCCATGTACCCATTCGTCCGTAAAATTCATACAGCCATGAAAGATCGCTCCATATGAAAACATAACACCCAAAATTTGGTATCACTTAACAATTGTTGTACCCATGTATAGCACTTTAGAACAAAGCTCCAGCGAGGCGGATAGCAACCGACTTGTTCTGGGTGTAGTTCTCGAGAGCGGCCTCTCCCAGCTCGCGGCCGATACCGCTCTCCTTGAAACCACCGAAGGGGAGCTGGTGGTGCAACATGTTGTAGCCTTTTCAATGTTAGTACCCAAACACGTTAAGATTGATAGGGAATACGACGTACAGTTGACCCAGACGGTACCTGCCCGAATGCTGTTGCTTACACGGAGAGCAGTGTTGAGGTCGTTGGTGTGGACAGCAGCGGCGAGACCGTATGTGCTGTGGTTGCCAAGCTCGATGACCTCCTCCTCAGTCTTGAATTTGGCGATAGCGCAAACAGGTCCGAAGATCTCCTCTTGCATGATCTTCATGTCATTGGTGACATTGGTGAAGATGGTAGGCTTGATGAAGTAGCCCTTGTCACCAAGACGCTCGCCACCAGTAGCGACGGTAGCACCGCCCTTCTTACCCTCCTCAATGTAGCCCATGATGCGGTCAAATTGCAACTGGCTGACCTGGGGACCTTGGAAGGTCTTCTCGTGGAATGGGTCACCAACAGCGTTCTCCTCGGCACGCTTCTTGAAGGCCTCGACGAACTTGTCGTAGATACCTTCCTGGACGTAGACACGAGAGCCGGCACAGCAGCACTGGCCGTGGTTGTAGTAGATACCGAAGTTGACCCATGAGACAGCCTGCTCGATATCGGCGTCGTTGAAGATGATGTTGGGGGACTTGCCACCGAGTTCTAGTGTGACCTTCTTGAGGTTAGAGGCGGCGGCAGCCTTCATGATGGTACGGCCGACAATGGTAGAGCCAGTGAAGGCGACCTTGTCAATGTCCATGTGGGAGGAGATGGCGGCACCGGCGACACGGCCGAGACCAGAGATGATGTTGAGGACACCGGCAGGGAAGCCAGCCTCCTTGACGAGGTTAGCGAAAACCAAAGCGGACAAGGGGGTCTGCTCGGCAGTCTTGAGGACAATGGTGTTGCCGGTGGACAGAGCGGGGCCAATCTTCCAAGCCAACATGAGCAGAGGGAAGTTCCAGGGAATGATTTGACCGCAGACACCAATCTGTAAAAGTCGTGTTAGTCTATCGGCAAGTAGAGTTTGCCTACTACGGCACGTCATGGTAGACTCACAGGCTCGTGCTTGGTGTAGTGGAAGGAGTCGGAGTCGATGTCGATGGTCTTGCCGTGAATCTTGTCGGCCCAGCCACCGTAGTATCGAATGCAGCCAGCAACAGCGCCAACATCACCACGAGCCATGGTGATTGACTTGCCGTTGTCCAGAGACTCGACGGCGGCTAGCAGGTCAAGGTTCTTCTCGACGAGGTCAGCAAGCTTGGTCAGGTAGAGACCTCGCTGCTGGGGCGAAGTTGTGCGCCATTCTCCGTCGAAAGCCTTGCGGGCGGCAGTTACGGCGATATCGACATCCTTCTCGGTGGCTTCAGAGACGGAGCAGATAACCTCCTCGGTGGAGGGGTTGATGACCTCGAAGGTCTTCTTGTCGACACCTTCTACCCACTCGTTGTTGATGAACCTGTGTGGCGCAAGCAGCGGGGTTAGCAACCAGGACTCGATGATTGGCTGAGGGGCTGCACCAGGGAGGCGTTCCCAAGGCGCCGGGATTGCTTGATTGGAGTTGGAGCAATCGAAGCATGCAGTTATGAGACCAAATGCTACTTACAATCCAGTGGGCTGGGAGTAAGAGCCGGTGATCGGCGTCTTCAGCTCGACGGTAAGAGGCATGTTGTGATGAGATTGATGTGGTTTGGGCGGAAAGGCTGAGGAATTGATGATGGAGAAGAAGAGCTGTGTTGCAGACGGGTGATGTCTCCAACGGGTATTATTATAGAAGAAATGAGATGAGATAAAGGGACTCTGGACATGGACAGACCTGGAAGCGAAGCTCTCTTTATCTTGCCGTGGCCTGCCTGGGTCTGTCTGGATGATGACCGGCGCGGGCAAGAGGGGGGGGACAGACAGCGGGGTATCATCCCAGCCGGGTAGATGCGATGGACCACTAGCGTGGCGAGGAGTAACGGACAATGAATCGGATTCCTACTTCAGGAGACGCCATCTGCCCTGATTGGTTCTATTGCTTGGCCCCGATGGGCCAGTGCAAGCCAGTGCAAAGTCAAGAAGGGTGCATGGATCGTGTACATGGATCGTGTAAAGTAAGTGAAGCTTGCGCAGAACGTCAGAAGGCCGGATCGCCACCAAGCCCACCTGTACCTCTCTTCAAGCCGCTCTAGGCACTGCTAGTGAGGTAAGTAGCGTGTCTACAGCGCGCTAAGAGCCCCGTTCAGACCCGTTACTGCCCCGTTGCTGCCCCGTAGCGCACCCCGTAGCGCACCCCGTCCAGGATACCTACCCCGTCTCTACCCACCACAGCGTTTACCTACCCCTCACTAAGTACATCCAGGTCCCTCTCCCCTCATTCATCCATCCCTCCCTCCCTCACGCACGCCGCCTGGCACTGTCCGCTCATCCTTGGTCTTCGTCGACATCACCTAGTGCAGCCTCCACGGAATTACGGAGTTGTGATGACACGCCCCTACCGACATACGCGCTAGAGGCTGCTAGTCTAGAGTTACTCCAAATCATGGCTGATGCGGCGACGCTGGTGCGGTCCAAAAAGGCATACTATGCATCGAAAGCTGTGACGTGCCTGGTAGCACGACAGAGAGCATCCTATCACCTGTTCTATGGATATATCTGGATACATGCATATATGTACACATGTGTGTAGTACTGAGAGGACTGACAGGACTGAGAGGTCGTTTTCCCTGCGTCATCTCTCTCTCTCTCTCTCTCTATCTATGCCGGGCGAAAAGGATACCCCGATTTCCAGGACTATACCCATCTATGATACACCTTTGGTAGACACGTACTTACATTGAGTACCTAGGCAGACACACAGCTTCTTGGCGGTGGCCTTGAAGCCTAACTCCGATCACGCCTGGTTGCGCATCGCATGAACGGCTGTGATCTGTCGTTACGGGACCGTGAGGCTAATTCGTAACCAATGGGACTCGTGAGCAGTCTGAAGCACTTGTCTCTAGCTTCGCTCCAACGGGACAAGGGAACTTCGACCAGTGGATGCTAACACAAATCAGTCGGGGAAACTGGTGTCATCGCTCTTCCACTAGTCGAAACGGGAGACGAGGGGCACGCAGGGTCAAACTATGTACTAACTTACAAGGTATGTGCGATATATCTACAGATACAATACACTACTTTCAGGATATCTCGTCTCACTATCGACCTAAGCCCCATGCGATGATGCATTACTGTATAGAATAAATAAAGTGCCTCATGCGGCCACGGCGCCGTGTGTAGCAAGAGCTGCTGTGATGCCCCTCGACCTGCCCTCGAGAAGCGCAAAAAGAGACCCATTGCTCAAGATTCTTCAGTGCCACATTCAGATTGACCTACCCTGCGTTGTAAGCTGACTGATCATATGCGTAAGAGCGCAATGCCCGCCGCAAAGAGGACTGACTTGTCACTTATGGACCATTTGTATCTGGCTGGTACATACTAGGTAGAGTCTGGTCGAGAGAGAATAAAAAAGCCCCCCCCCCCAGCATTACCCCCACAGATGCAGATGCAGCTAGGTACGTGTAAGCTTGGCCATGTGAGATGACAACCCTAGACTGACACGCCTTTGAGTAACACGACCTACTATGTAAGCCTGCTAGTAGCTCCCCCACATTTGCGGAGGTCATCTGCTTGCGGTCTTGTCCCGAGGGGCAACGCCTACAGGACGACGACGGACAAAGGGAAGCAAAGCCTCTCGTCGACAGGCTCTTCTATTGGCCAGCTTGGCCCGACCGTGTGTATCACATATGAGGAATTCGCCGCTGTCGAAACATGCAGGCCGGGAATTACTAAACGTTATCATGGAGTTGACAGAAAAAGTGACCCTAGTTCCCGAAAGTGGCCTTCTATTAGTATCTACTGACATAGCACTGCACTATCGACTATGCACTGCGTGTTAGGAGCACGGTCTCGAATTCCCCGTGGGGTAGTTCATACTATGTACTGTAAGTAGATAGGGTTGCACGGGAATCGTCGGCGGCGTTTCGTCAACTCGTCGTTAGTGGTGGCCACTTCCGAGGAGACTGGTCCGAGGGTCAATAGTCACCCGAATCACAGTACATTACAAATACGCACGCCGCCATCACTCAGCCATCGCATTATCCGCAACCAAATAAGCAAGCAAACCTGCTCCTGAAACGTCTGCTGCGTACAGTAGTAGTAAACTGTTTCGCACATTCGTCTATTGTCAGCGCTTCCGGTTATTGCCCAGCCATGGGTATGCAGATCTGAACATGCCGGTAACATACCGGTACCCGGATACTGCCTGGAGTGCTGTTTAAGCTATCCCCGTCAATGTGTTCGCCGATTCGTTGTCATTCATATCGAGTGTGTACATAATATAGGCAGCTCTCAATCGGTGGAGGATTACCTTGACTATATTTTCGAGATTGATATGGGTCAATATACCCCAGAAAGTCACCCCTTACTTTGGTACGTATCTAGAAGGGTAGGGGTCTCGCCTCAGGCCAAATTGGGAACTGCAAGAGTGCAAAGGCGGTATTGGCGAAGACTTGATTGCCATATATATTAATAGCTCTCGTGAATTAACAAAACAGAGGATTTGCAGTATATGCCCAAGTAGGCATCGCGATCTCTGTCTGTATACCAATTAGGCAGCGACCGATCTCAAAGAAACTAAGGAGCTACTATGTACTTGCTATTGCTAACCTAGCAGTCAAGTTGGCTTGATAACTTTAGGCTTACATAAGGTTTGCGTAGATATTCAGGTAGAACTCGGCAGAACAAAGACCGAAGGGCATTGTAACTCCCACCACGCCGCAACTATTGGGTAACAGTTGAGGACAAAAGGGGTCAGAAGCTTGTCTAGTGTGAACTTACATTTATTGGTAAGATTGAAGAGACGCGACTCGTAAACCCAATGGCGGAAACCTTGGAAACATAGCTTCTTGAATGTGTCTGACCAAAATCAGAACTTCAATACGTAGTAGATAGATTATCACGCGCAAACGCCATAGACTAATACCACAGGCTCTAGCTATATCTATAACACTGGAATGACCAATCAAAATAGGCTATATAACTCACTGGAGTTGATAGGATTAATGTTGATGAAATATTTGTTCACAGCTCATACATATGAAATGGTACGCAACAAAGTTGATATTTCAGGCTTTCGAAAGTGTGTTTCAATTGCCTCAAAGCTTGGTGTTATGTAAGCTACGGGGCACTTGGAACCTTGGGACTGACGTAGCTGAATATGATAAGTGGTTGTGTATCATATCGATAAGACCCATTGGGGCAGGAATATAGGGCTCTTTTTTTCCCCAGCCTCAGTATCATCGTACAACGGCGCTGTCCATTAGAGACTGATCAGGCGCAGCAGAGATCTATAGCCAATCTTCAACAAAAATACATGATATGAGCTGTCAAATACCTTGAGTCAAATTATGGCTGATGTTGAAGCGGCAATCGCTGCTGCCATGAGCGCAGCTGCGCCAACTGCCCCGCCAATGAGTGAGTGCCGCAAGTTGCATCCTGTTTCCCTCAGATATAAGACCCAGCGCGAGATTCAAAATGCTCTCACTGGTTCACGACTTCAACTCGATATGCCCTAGACACTTGATCTTTAATTTTTTATCTCCAATGGCCTGTGTATCTGATTACATGTCGTAGGCCCTGTTCTTGGACCCGAAACCTTCTCTGGGGATGCGATGATCGTCGACAGCGAGCCCCTCCAACCACCACAACTGTCGCATTCACCTCAGCCACCATTGAAGCGATCCCGCTCCCCAAGCGATGGCAGGCCGGTTGGCGGCGATGAGGACCGAGACGAGAAGCGTGTGAAAATAGAACCTGCTGCTGATGGCGACCTGGATGAGATAGCACGAATGGTTCAGGCTGTGCAGGCTTCTGTAATGAAGGAGTTCCTGTCAGCTCCAGAGCCAGTTCTAGAACACAAGACCGAACCCGAGCCCGAGCTAGTATCTCACGTAGCGCAGCCCGATGAAGTTTTCGAGACGACAGAACACGAGCAACTCAGCATTGAATCGGTTTTAGAGGCTGCTTTGAACCAAGAAAGATCACCGTCAGGGGACATGGAACCCAGGCCGGATACTTTATGGAACAATCCACGAGATTACACTCGAAGAAAGCATATAATTCCGGCACTTGGTGCCTTGGTCAGTGCCAGTAGTCCCGAAGTGATTTGAGAACCACGACTGACGTGGCAGTAAGGCTGTCGACATCTTGATAGCTCTGTCAGAACAAACACTAGAGGATACCGTGGCGACTTTCACCAGTGACCTCGACTCCGACATTACAAAGGAATACGGTGTCTTGCGGGCGGCGTTTGAAATTCAACGTAGACAGTTATTGCAACCGCAAGACACATCGCCATTCCTTGACGCCCGTAAACTTAGAATCAAGGATCATACAAGGGAAGTGATCCGGATCGCTAATCTTGCCTCAACATGCGCCAGTATATTTGGCACGAATGAGATAACCCTAGAGGAAGTCAACAACCACTTTCTACGTATATTTGTCCCAACAGGTCGATCTTTAAGTGACGACGCCGCGGAGTTATACTTGGGATTGAAAACACAGCTGTTTATAGCTATTCTGGATGGCGATCTTGACAAGTCTAAGGAACAGCTACTTCAGGACCTTTTTGTGACTGATGTTGAAAGTTCCTTACGAGCTCACCATCCTAATCTCCCTTTGTCAACAACGGAACTCGACTTCATAGCCAACTCAAAAGCGCGGAAAGGTATGCTATCAAATGCTTCTGCGGCTGCAAATAGTATATGTAAGTTTTCGAAACATCCTATTGCATCTTCTTTTTCCCGTCTCATGATTACTGACACACAGTGTTAGATACTCTGAGCAAGCAGTTCACATACGAGGCTTTCTTGGACAATCTTAGCACATATCTCAACGATAATATAGATAAAATCCAGGCGCAGGTCTCGGGCGAAATGGAGGCTAAAGCCCCCACTGAAAGCCCGGCCCCTGCTGATGAGGACATACATGATTTGGCAAGCGAATTTGACTTGAATGCTGCGATAGCCGAAGCGTCGAGAGCAGCGGCTGAAGAGGCGCTGCAACCCAGTGCTGATGAAACAAGCGCATTTGACGACCTGTCAGCTTTTCTTACAGAGAATGTGTCTCGAGCTATCGAACAGTCGAGGCAGGCGGCGACTAGCATAGAGCTGCCATCATCTATTACTTCAGCTACGGAGAGTGCATCAAGAGCCACGGCCTTGGCACTAGAGAGTATCGCGAGGAATCAATATCATCCGACTGCATTGCCACATTCCACCAGTAAGTTACATGTCTATCTGGGCCCTTTGAATTGAATAACTGATAAACATTCTAGGCCAAACCCCATCTTCGACCAATCATCACAACCATCAGCCTCAACAGACACAGACCGCGTCCGCACAATATTTCTCTTACCAACAGCAGCAAGTACAACAACAGCAACAACAACAGCAACAATCTCAACAACAGGTAGCCAACATACAGACAAATTATCAGGCTCCAAGCGATCACCTACCTCCAAATCAGAGTGACTCAACACCAGCTCTATATGAGCGAGCTCGACAAGCCGCTGCAGCACGATCTTCAACCCACGCTCGGCGCGAAGGTACTCATTCTACTCGACGGCCGTGGAGTCCAGAAGAGGAGAAAGCACTCATGATGGGGCTTGATATGGTAAAGGGTCCTCACTGGTCGCAGATCTTGTCCCTGTTTGGTCCCAGTGGTTCACTAAGCCAGATACTCGCGGATCGCACTCAAGTTCAATTGAAAGACAAGGCCAGAAACTTGAAGCTTTTCTTCCTGAAAACTGGTTCCGAGATGCCCTATTACCTGCAGTGTGTAACAGGGGAGTTAAAAACACGAGCTCCTACCCAAGCTGCCAGAAAGGAGGCTGAGGAAAAGGCAAGAATGAATTCTGAAGAGCACCAGGCACATATGAACGGAATTCTCGCGCTAGCTGGAGGCCTTCAAAACAATACAGCTCAAAGATCTAGTTCATCCAGACCAATGCCCAGCAGCACTACGCCTCAACAACAACAACTTAATCACAGCCATTCACACCAAGTTACGCCTAACCCAACACGACAGCCGTCGCAACAAATAGCCTCTCCTCAGCCACCTCGCCCGACAATACCTGCGCCTCAGCCAGTCAGTTTGCCAACGTTGACACCGACTAGTCAGCAACAGCATCCACAGCAACCATCTAAACCACAGCAATCGATACCGCCACCTGAGTATTCCACAGCAGCACAGACACAAGTCAAAGTAGAAGAGCCTGCCGTGCAACAGCAAGGACCCACAGCAGCCCCAGAGACGCCACCGGTACCAGATCACAGCAACTTGAGCATTGAAGACCAAGCGCTTCTCAGTCTCAAGGCCGCCATGGAAGGCGAATCTGCCGCTGCTGCCGCCGCACAATCGGCCACGACCTTTATCAAGCAGGAAGAACAGCACTAGCCTCTTACATATTGCCGCGACTGCTGGTACATGAAGCAGAGTCATCGCCTCCATCTCTTTATCAATAATGATGATAAGTAGATGGGACACGATGACATGGGAATGTTACATAACTTCGTGCATATATTATGTTCTTCTTACAACCCTTTTCTTTTTATTATTTTTTCACAACTCTGAGCCCTTGCTATCGGCCTTTTCATTCTGGCTGAGGTGATGGGGATATGGTTTCGATGTTTGATACCCATGGCTGAAAGCGGATCGTGGACTGGGGGGCTGGTTTTAGGCGTCGGGACACACATGACGATGGTAACGAAAATAAAACAAAAAACTTCGAGTTCTAGAAGTTCTACGGAAATGGAACGGGGTGTTTATACTGTGTAGCGTAGTGTAGTTTAGTGTAGAACTTGCAGGCGTATTAGATGGTGGTGACGAGTAACTGCTGAATGCGACGGGATGTCGTTAACTACTGGACTTAATCCAGAGCTGTATACTGACAAATGCGATTGAATTCGGTAGGACTTATTAATACAGTGTTTGACTTCCTCCTACTTAAGAAGGAAATCTCTAGCTCCCAGACGATTTTCATGCATTGGTCGTACTCATTCATGTATTACCCGACTAACGTCATTTATCGCAGCGGTATTGAAGCAGAGTGAGTAAGTAGATGGTACTCATCTTGATTCTAACTACATAATCAGCATGTCTAAGTATGATGCATTTTACCCCGTTTATAAGACGAGTTAAAAAGGCCAGTATCCATATATTTCCGCTGCATGATATCATTCTCCACGCGTTGTTCAGAATGCGATGATTAGCGATATCAAGCTAAACATATTCCCAGGCAATACATACTCCTCAAATTATAGGTTTACAAGATCTTTAACATTTTAAAACATAGATCTTAAATAAGTTTCATGAGCTCGTTCATCATAAACGTATATCCCGCAATCGGCGTGAAGGGCACGATCCATTCATGTTACAATAGAGGGTATAGATAAGTACGACCTAAATGCATATATATGTATATACCACGATATATAAATCTCATGCATGTAATCCGCTCTTCAAACCACGAATTGGGCGAATAAAAAAAAGAGAGGGAATAATTTCTTCTCTTGAAAATTTGTATAAAGGCGTTCACCTTTCCCTATAATACTCGTCTTACCAACCATAAAAAACCAAGCCAAGCCCCAAACCGAGAAAGACCCCCTATGCCGTGCAAACGCCAATGAAAATGGATTCCATGCTCGAAAAACCTGCTATCATGCCCGCTTTCTTTCATTGAGAAAAACAGCAAAACGAAAAAGAAAAATCTTGTAGTAAGTAGTAGTAGTAGTAAATCAAATTCAGTGTAGAGACTCTCTATCACATCACAATGCAATCCTTATTGTCTTTCCCACCGCCCGCACCAGCAGCGACAGAGTGTTGCGAGGCTTGACGTGGTCGGGTCGGTGTACTAGGTCCAGCGATGCTCTGGCTTCTCAAGTTAGAGCTCCTCCTCGGGTTTGGGTTCGGGCTCGGGTTCGGACTTGTAGGATTACTTGATGGATGGCTGGGGTGACCGGCGGGCGGGACATATGGCGTTGACTTTGCAGCTTGTTCGTAGCTCGGAGGTGCGTCTTCTATGTCTTCTTCTGCCGCTCGATGAGTTACGGGAGGGATTAGGGACCGAACCTGTTGTACGCTTCTCCTTGGTTGTACCGCTGCTGCTGCCCGGGCTGGCTGGTTAGCGGAGCTACCTCTAGGAGGTGGCAAACTATGAGAGCTTCCTCTGCCGGCATTATTGATTGAGCCACCGCGGGTCCGGGTCCCAGTACGGTTCCCACCCCTCCCTTGTTGTTCAATATACTGCTCGGACAGACGGCTTTCTCGGCGCCGAGCGGCCTGCTCTGTACGATGTCGCTCTTCTTCCTCTTCCTGCAGTTGTAGGGCTAAAGCTAAGTCTCTGTCCTCCTGTTCATGTGGCGAGAGTGGTGTGGTAGTTGGCGCTGGTTCACTTTGACGGTTATTTTGTGAGCGTCTACTCCGTACCGTTTGCCAGCCGCTATTGTTAGAAGTATCAGCGCCGGACGACGGGTCATCATACCAGCCATCATCGTTGCTCTGTGACCTTGAACCTTGGTTGCCGCCAACAACACGAAAGTCGCCAGAAAAGAATTCCGCCCGCTCACCCCTAACATCAACAAGTGATTCCCACACGACTTCATCATGAGTGAAGTAGCCGGCGTCCGTAACCAGGGTGAACAGCTGAAGTGTCTGTGGGTGGCGATATAAAGTAGAAAAGTGATCATTGCGAAATAGGATTGAAACATCTCCAGGCTTGATAGACTGAGTGATGACATCGAGGCCCGAAGGTGTCAATTGTGTTGCCGTTGTAGAAAGAAATGATTTAATGGTGACAATGTCTTGGTACAGCTGCTGCTCCTCCTCTGTCAGGCCTGTCTGTGAGCTGCTGAACTTGTCTTCAAGCTCCTCTTCATGAAAGAGAAGATTCTGTGCATCATCATAAGAAGCAGCTCGCTTCTTCAACGCGGCATATGCCGCGTCATCTTTTGGAGGCAGCCAGCCATGAATCAAAGGAATCTTGAATGTAGCATAAAGCTCCATATCCCTGGTCTTTTCAAATGTGCCCGGCATATCATCACCCGGCGAAATTTGTCCATGGGCAGCTGCAGCTTCGGGAGTAGGTATAAATCGTGGGTTGACATTCATTCCTGTATGCAGCCCTTGTAGAAAACCATAAAGTTCTGACATATCCGGCAAGGGCATGTCAGACCCCGCATGCCGCGAGGACATGAGCTCATCTACAACCACCTCTAAAAGAAAACTGAGACTAACTTGTTCACGGGCCCCAAGCGTCTCAACCAAATTCGTGTTAGCCTGATCAGCTGGTGTCGTCAGTGTCAACGCATTTACCAGGGCTACCAAAGGGCAAGGGCCGTTAGCATTCTGAACAAGAATAGGCGAAGCTCGAGGGTTCTGAGGTGCCTTCGAATCATACCAACGAATGCTCTTAATCTGATAGGTTTCTGACATATTCACATTGTTTGGCGATTGTCGACGTGGAGGTTGCGGCGGCGGGACTTCTATCGACGTCCTAGGCGGCAACGGCGGTGCCTCTTCGGCCTCAGACGCCGCGACCTCTTTAGCCGTGTCCTCATCTGCGGCGTCAAAGTTTTCCCAAGTACTCTGTCTAGAGAGACTACCTGGAACCTGATCTGATGTTGGTTCATGATCAACCACATTCCAGCCATCAATGGATTCAGGTGGGATTGACGACTGTGGCTCAACAGGTTGCTTGCCCTTGTTGTTTTTGTTGTTGGATTCTTCCCTTTCCCAAGCGTTTTCATCGCCTAAAAGATCAGCAGCCGTTGTGGTATTCAAGGGCGCGGGACTAGGAGAGGCAGTTGAGTGAATGTTGCCTGATGATTGAGTAGGAGTAATGCCGGGAGTTGTTGTGAGTGACTGAGAACCAGTGCCCCAAACATTTTTCTCAGGGTCCTGGTCAAGTAGCGACGGTGGTTGTGGTGGTGTAAATCCGGAACTGTTCGTCTCATCTACGGCCGGCCGCCATGGGTTTGTGTTTTGGTCTGACGATTCATGGACTCCAAGTTGGGAAAACGCCTCGGTGGGTGGTTCTGAAGCAATTGTAGACTCCTCGTAAGGTTTTCTTGGAATGTCGACTACTGCCGAGGAGCTTTGTATAGGCTTCCGCTTGAATGGGTTCGTTTCTGACCGACCAACGCCGGGGCGCAAGACAGTTGGGACCTTAACCAGCGTAGTAGGCTGAGCGTCGTCTCCATTAGGCACAATTACCCCGTTGTCTATATCGTCCCATGGATTCTGCTCCGCTTGTTCATAAGGGGGGCTGATAGTGGTGACACCAGGCCGCAATGGATCCGGGACTTTTCGAGAAGTATCGGTGTTGCCGGTTTCGCTGGCCCCACGATGCCCCGCGGAGGTTTGCTCTGGCGTGCCCCATATTCTCTCTGCGTCGACTTCGGAATTGGTAGCTGACCATACTTCTATGCGGGGAGGTTCGGATGCGTTGGCATCGTTGACATTAGTCGAGGGGCTTTCGGGGGTGGGTTTCCTCGTCACCATGGTGAGAGAGCGCGCAACAGAAGTGGATGCGACACGGCGTTGAGCAACAGGGTATATAGCAGAGAGCAATCTGTTTTGTAGCTCTGTAACTGTGACACGAGCGCAGATTGAGAACGGGAAGGCAATTCGAGTCGCTAATTCCAAGGGACTAGTTCCGTAGTATGGCGGCGCAGGAGCCGTACTTCATCGAGGTAGAAGAGTAGAGTAAAAGAGTAGATACGAGAGGACCTAAGGAGGTTGCGTCATCACGATGTGCAAGACACCCAGATAACGAGCTGGGGCAGAAGGAATGCGACACAACGTGGAGATGACGATGCTAAGAACTATCGTGGCAATACGCTTAAACGACAGAAGACGGGCAGTTTTACGATACTTCCTCGAGAGAGAGGCGGAGTCAAGCCTCGTGGGTTTTTAAGTGGCAGCTCAAGATCCCGACATATGTAGGTAGGTAGCTGTTCATACAATGCATTGACTTTCCTTTGGGTGTATGTAGGTACTACGTACATAGGTCCCCGCTACCTACAGCTGGGCCGCTTGGCTTGGTACCTGCAGGTGGTGTGGCGGTGCACTGTTGTACCGATCGCTGCAGCCTGGACAGTATTGGAGTCTGCTGGAGCGAGGCAGATACTTGTGAGCGCAAGGCACTGTGGCGGGGAGCATGTACCTGTACCTTGCTTCAGCGCTATATGATGTACACGTATGATGTATTTCCAAGCTTGGAGTGGGGTTGCGGAGAGGCATTTGGAGATTTATTGGAATCTCATGTCGCCTCCTTCCCAGGCAGCAATATTCCAGTGCGGATCCAGTGCTAGGTTACTAACCTTAAAAACTCGAACACTAAGTAAGATTTAATTAAGTACCCCAGACCAGACCCAGACCGTCACCTTGAAAGGAAATCGTCTATGCCATATGAGTGTTAGCTGCGCATGTACATGGAGGCTGCGCAAACTTAAAGGCGAGATGGCTATTGTGCCTGCTGATCAAGGTACTAACTAACATGCTCTCCTCGCTCTATCATACACTGATCATGAGATATGCGGAGTACAGTACAACGAAAATTGCAATTCAAGGCATACTAGAAATGTAACTAACACTCATCGTCATTGTTTCCACGCTTCATTCATGAGCTAAGAAGTGTGTGGTTCCACAATCCTAGCTCGCCCTCGCATCAACCAGATCAAGGGGCTTGGTTAAAATCGTATGCGTTACCAAAAGCCCGGTTGAGATAGCCATCCGCGACTTTCTGTTTCGATACCCAATCGGCGGGTACCTGTAGTCCAAGCTCGCCCCGAGCCTCCAGATCCTCAAGAATAGGCCTGACATCGTCTGCGAATTCAAGCCTCATGGGATTCCGGTACCAGCTGGCGAAGTGGATCTGCGCCAGCATCACCCGAACTTCCTCGCTCATGTTCGGCATTCCCGCGTGCCATAGTCTGAGATCGCGAACTATGATGCTACCCTTCTTGATGTTCGGCTGAACTGGCGCGCCGTGGGTTTCCACCCGCTTTGCCAAGAGATCTTGTTTAATGCGGCCACTAGCTCGTTCTCCGTGTGCACCTTCTTGAGCTTCAATGCCGCCCATACCTGTGTGCGAGCCGAGCCATACCTCGGTCGAACCGTTGTGTGGCGTCATATCTTCGGCCCAGGAATTAGTCTCACTTGCAGGGTAAATTTTATCAAGCCACTCTTGCTCCGTTGCTAACCAAAAGCCAACCGATGAAAAGAGCGAGAGAGCGAGAGAGAGAGAAAGAAGGGGTCCGAGATTTCACGTACCCACCAACGGAACATTGACAACGAGGGCAAACGGGTGCTCTGGATGGGTGAAATCGGCATCTGCGTGCACTGGCTGACGTTGTGGTGAGCCGCCAGGAAGCGGTGGCATTGCCGTGTTTCCTGAGCAGAAAGTCCACTTAGGCCGAGGGCCCAAAACGGCCGATGTGATTTGAGTTGCAACGAGATCTACGAGAGTCAGAGGTCAGCGACAAAGCTTCAATAGAGGATTGCAGCAGGGAAAACGCAACTTGTAAATATAGACGGGTAGAAATACTCAGAATAAGGAGGTGCGTCTTGCTGGAGATTTCCCAAGTTGTAGTTGAAGGGACCGTCTTTGCCGCGGGCTTGAAGTATGCGAGCATCTTCTACCATCTTGGTGTTTAGGTGGTCTAAGTCTTTGTGTGGTATCACATCTTCGACTACCACTAAACCATCCAAGTGGACGCCGCGGACGGCTATTTCGAGGTTTCTCTCGTTTAACCTGCTATTTCTTATTTCATATTCCGAGGGACGGACGACTAGGGGCAGACGTTGTGATGAAAATAGTCTTTGTTGAAGAATGGGTGTTTGCCTGCAGGCTAGACGTGCGCCAAGCCAGGCTTGACTTCTGCAAAGTGCAATTGACATCTTGCTAGACGCAATAACGAATTCAAATAATATCAATTGATTCTTTTGAATAGTCCGCCTTCGAGTTATACGTCTTTGTTTCGAGGCGACGAGTGGTACCTTTATAGATGCCATCGTCAGGAGCTGCATCGAGCTCCTCCAATAGCAGTGAAACCCGAGCTCGGGTTTGGTCAGCTGGCCGACTCATCTTAGCGCTGCAAGTGCTCTTGAAACGAACATGGCTCCCCCACCTCCGTCACTACATCGGTCCAAATTCTTGCCAGACAATAGTAGATCGAGTTCGTATTGGAGACACCGTATGAAGGAAAAGATTCTTCTTACGGATATTTATAGTTAACGGAATCGAACCGGCGTTTCCAGGCAGCATTTCTAAAGTTAAGTTAAAAGCGTTGTTTTATTATTAATCCCGCAATAAAGTGCGTGGAAAATTCTAACTATATAGGCGTTCCGGCTAATCCTTGGAGCGTAGTGCTCCTATTAGAAGCGCCCTTATAGGTATGCTTTTATTGGGGCGTAGTGCGCCCTTGTTAGGGGCGTATTGCGCTATTGGCTAGGAGCGCTATACCATTAGCGAAAATGCTACGCTGTTGGTAAAAGCGCCGTGCTATTTCGTTATACACCCCCTAGCTAGATGGTATCGCCGTATAGTTAATTGTTCGATTTTGGCGTTCCGTATAATTGGTAAACTATAGCGTACCTAATACTTCTTTTATATATTTAAACCTATTTTTGCCTTTTTAACTTTAAGGGCATTTTTACCTAATCTTCTTTTAATATATATTTAACCTTTTATTAATTAAAATCAATAAAATAATTTAAATATTTTATATTTTACTTTTTATTAATATATTTGCCTTAATTAATATTTCTTAAGTTTATAGTATTAAATTATATAATTATTTTTATATATTATTTATAATACCTTACTTTTAATATTTATTATAATAACGTTTAAAGTTAATATATAAAGTTTATATTATTAATTATTTAATATTTATTAAAATAACCCTTATTATTTATATTTATTAAATATAGCGTTTAAAGTTAATATATTAATAGGTACTTTATTAAAAAGTATTATTATTATATAAAGTTTTATTATTTATTTATTTAACGTTATTATAATAATTATATATTTAAAAGTATAATATATAAAGGATATATATTCCCTTTAATATTTTAAAGTAAAGCTTTTTCCCTTTTTTTTTCCTTTTTATCCTTTTATAATTTTTAATATATTATATAATATATATAATACCTTTTATTTTATAATATATTTATTAACTTTTTACTTTTTATTAATAATTAAAACTTTATTTAATAAGTTATTTTTTTTATATAGTATTATTTTTTTTAAAATATATACTTTTTAAAAGTATATTTATTATAGTTTAATATTGTTTATATTATTAATATTATATGCTTTTAAAGTTTAAGGAATTATACTAATATATATATATAAAGATATTATTATAAACTTTTTCCTACTTTTACTTTATTAACCTTTCCTTTTTAAAAAAAGGTAATAATTTTAATATATAAATATATTTTTATAGTTTATTTTTAATTAATTTTTATAAAGTGTAATATACTTTTATTTAAAGTTTATAAAAAATATAACGTAAATATTAATATAAGAAAAACTTAATATAAATTTTAACCTTCCCTTTTTATATTTATTTAGCTTTAGCTTTACCCCCTCTTTTTCTTTTATATCTATACTACTTTTATACCTAGCTCCCCCCCCTTATCTACCTACCCCTATTGCTCCTATTATTATTATCGATAATAATAAAGATGAAAACGAAAATAAAGATAATAATAATAATAATAAAAATAATAAAGAAAAAAAAAAGGAAAAAGATATACTAGCTATTATATATATTATTTATACCTTTGTTTACTTTTATTACACCTTTTCCCCGCCATACTTTCGCTTACCTCCTTTATTACCTCCAGCTTTAACGCCCGGTTATTAGTAGTATTAGGACCTACTCCGGTCCCCTATAATTAATATACTTAGTCCTCCTTTATAGGAAGGTTAGGCATTTATAAATAGGTAATTAGGAAGGGTTTTTAATATTTCTAATATTAAAAGAATTATAAGCTATATATACTTATATAAATACTTTAAATATTTCTTTTTTATTATAAGACATCTTTAATACTTTTAGGTTAATAATATAAAAGAAGCTAAAGTAAAATTATTAAACTTTTATAGCTATAAAGTTTATAATATATATTTAATTAAAATAGTTAGGTTAATTAATTTTATAACCCTTATTATACTATTATTATTATTATTACTATTATTATTACCCTTTTAGCCCCTATAATTAATAAAGATATAAGTTTAATTTTCTTTTTATAATTCTTTTAATATACTTTAATTATTTAATAAATGCTTAAACTATTTAAAAGGCTTATATAGCCCTCTATAGGGCGTTTTTTTTAAAGGATACCTTTATAAAGGCTATTAGGTTTTATTATACTACTCGTTCTTTGGAACAATAAAAGAAAAAGAAAACAAAGAAAAATACTATACTTTTTTTTATTAATTAGGTAATGCCTATCTTTAATATCGCTATACTTAATAGTTTCCTATCCTCCAAAAATAAAAATGAAAAAAACGAAAAAGAAAAAGAAGAAAATAAACCTATTATACCTAGCTCCTTCCTTTAAAAAAATGCTTTCTTCCTTTTCCTTCTTTTACTATTATACTGTTATCCCTATAGGGTATAGTCCGCTACTTATTATTTTAATTTAATTTAAATTTTTTAAATGGAAATTAAAGGGAATTTAATATTTAGGATTAATTATACGTTTATTTTTTTATCCGCTTTTTATAACTATAGCGCTTTTATCTTTTAAATTAATAAATACCTTAAAATGTTTAAATTATACTTTTAATATATTTTTAATAAATTTATTAATAAGCATTTATACTATTAATAAATATATAACTTTAAAAAATCCTTTAATATATTTTTATTTTATTTATATATTTTAAATATTTATATAGCGGAGCTAAATATTAATATATTTATTTTTTCCTATTATAAAATATATAGTTTATTAATTATTTAAAAAGATTATTTATACTTTTTTAAAGTTATATATAATATTTTTAAAAAGTTATTTAAGTATTATTATTTCCTTTCCTATAAATAATAAAATATTTACTTTAACCTTAATTATTAATATAATAATTATACTTTATTATATTATTTTCCATATAATTACACCCCTAAATAGTAAAATAATATACCTATATAAAAAGTGCTTAGTTTTTTAATTGTTTATAAAGGAGGCATTTCCTATTATAATAAATATTTATATATTTATATTCCAATTATTATATATAATATATAAAAACTTTATAATATATATATATTTAATAATTTAATCTATTATCTTTAAGTAATTTAGCTTAAAATTAATTAAAAACTTTAATAACTATATTATTATATAAGTTATATTTAATTTTAATATAATAGCGTTATATAAAATTATTTTAATATATTTTTAAAATGCTTTAATTTTATATTTTATAATTTATTTTAAGAACTTTTTTAATTCCTTATATAATAAAGGAATTATTAATATTTAACTTTAATTATTAAATCTATAATGCTTTATTACTTTTTTAATATATTAATTATAAAGTAGTATTATAGTTTTTTATTTTTTATCTTTAATTATTTTTATATTAAAGAACTATAAGGTATTTCCTTATTTTTTAAGTTTATAAATGCCTTTAATTTAATTAATAATCTTTTATACTTAAAATTAATAATCCTTTTTATATAAAATTAAAAAGTTATTAATATAAAAAATAATAAATATATAATAATTTAAAATATAAAATAAGTATAATTCTTTTAAAAAAGTAATTATATTATTAATTTAAAGTATTTTTATAAACTTCTTATATTATAATAATAATAAATCCTATAACTTATATAAAGCATATATTAATAAACTAATTTTATTTTTATTTATAAATCCTTTAGGGAAATTTATTATAATTATACTTTACTCTTTTTAAATAGTATTTAAAAATACCTTTATTATATTATATTATTTAATTTTTAAATTTAAATATATTATTAGCGTTATTATTAATTTAAACGTTTTTATAGCTAAAATTATAATATAGGTTAATTATAAAATATCTTTCGTTTAAAGGTCCCCTTTTATAATTACTTATAATTTATATATTTCTAAATAGCCCTTTTTATTAAACTTATAAGTAAATACTTATTTTAATAATAGTAAAGTATTTTTAAACTATTTTTTAAATATAACCTTTAAAGCGTTTATATTTTTTAACCTTTAAAATTCCTCTTTAGCATTCTTTTTAAACTTTTTTCCTAAGGTATATATTTTAAAATCTTTTTAACTTTTAAGTAGCGGATTTTGCAAATTGCTATAATATATATACCTTTAATAAAATCCTAATTATATTCTTTTATTATAAATAATTATAGCTATAAATATAGTATAAAGGGTTTTATATTTTTTATTTTTCTAATATAGTACCTTTATTATATTTAATAGAAATATTTATAGGAATACTTTTTAATATTTATTATATAAAATGTATATTTTATTATTAGAAAATATTATAGTTAAAAAGATAATAGCGTTAATATTTTTTTTTAAATGCTTTTAGTTTTTATTTTAAAGCTTTAGAGCTATACCTTTAACTTTTTAACTTAACCTTATTATTAAAGGGAATACCTTTTGCTTATATTTTTATCTTTTAATTAATAGTTAAAGTTTTACTTTAGGTATAGAAGGTATATTTATTAATAATAACCTATTACTTTATATGTTTAATATAATAGCTCCTTAAGGTATATTATTTCCTATTTAATTTATATTATTAAAGTTACCCTTTGCTATAAAATGGTACTTATTTAGCTTAGGTATTTTTTAAAAAATTATAAATTTATATTATAAACCTTTAAGAGATCCTTTTTTTTAATCCCTAAGTATACTTACCTTTAACTTTTATTCCTTTAAAAGAGTAATAAAGGGCTTAATAGAGTTATATAATATCTTTTTCCTATTATTAATAAAAGCGTTTATATTTAACCTAAATATTATATTCTTTATTTTTAATTAAATGTTTTTAATATTATTAAAGTTTTTAACCTCCTTTATAATTTATAAAAGCTTTATATATATTTTAATAACCTTTATTGTTAAACGTTTTTATTCTTTATTATAATAAAGCTTTTTATTAAATTCTATATTTTTAATAATAATAACCTCCTTTAATTAAAGTATTTATATTTAATATACTTTAATTAATTTATATCCTATTAAATATTTAATATATATTTAAAGTTTAACTTTATAATTATATTTATATTTATTTATATTATAATTCTTT